ACAGCGTGTTGGGCAGGTGAGGTTTGGGACTTCAAGCGTGTCTTGTCAAAACTATACACGCTACCACCCACTTGTATCGAGTATGGAACCGATCGGATTGGTTTTACCATGGTGCCACATCCACAAAGCTTCCTTGGAGTTAGTCTGCTAACACGCCAAAACGCCAGCTCAACGCGCGCTCCGCTCTCTAGATGATCCAAGATGTCGACCTCCCTTGGAGTTTGTACGGTGTCACGCAAGCAAGCTTGCACGGCAGATCACACCAACACTCAACACATTCTTTTTCTCTCTCGAATTGCATTAGTAACTTTCCACGTTTCTCCTCCAATTACTTTTCGGAGACTGGTAAGCACGCATCTTGACTCAGACCTACTTGCACGACGCAATTCGGAGTGTTGCACCACTCGTATCCAAACCCAGATCTACGTGAATTCCACTAGGAGACCACCTTTCCAGAAACATTCACTTATATCTACTTGCACTAGTACGCCATTCAGAGACCACTTGCATCCTCACCCAGGAGACTACTCTTGAGTCTTATGCACGTGGGTTTTGGTGCTGCTCCATCTATGATCCATCGCGCCACAGGTGAGCTCCAACTGAGATAACTCACGAGCCTAAGGACATTGCTGCAGCAGGGACCTCAGCAGAGGACATCTGCTGTGAGCAGCAGAAGGACATTGCTGCAGCAGGAATATTTGACCCAGGGCAGTATAACAGTGAATTAAACAAGAAAAAAACATGAATTTTATGTGAGTGAATGCCAGGAGAACATCATGAGGCGCCCAATCAATTAAAATGCACCTGAGGGTCGATGGTAACAAAACTGCAGGCGGACTTCTTTAATGCGTGCCTTGTTGCAACGAGGTCCACACCAGCAGGTATGCGAGCAAAGTCCTGATCGATTTATAAGGACAAAAAATGTAATTCACAGCCGTAGGACATGGTTCACGAATGAGATTGTGTATTACGAATGAGATTGTGTAATTATCCGTGATCTAACGGCAAGCTGAAGTTGGCATAAGTAGAACGAAAGGAGAAAGCGACCGCGAACCTGCAGGATGACACGAGCTGATTTGAAGGAAACCTTGTCTTGGTCCTGAAATTTGTTGGCCCAACTCAAGATCTTCTCCACGTCCGTCTTCGTGACGTGGTCATTGTCACAATTGCAAACGGTGGACTCCAGTATATACTTGAGAAGAATTGGAAGTTCATCAACACGATAAGAGGTATTTTGTTAAAACGAGTTAAAAAAAAGACTTTTGAGTGGAAATTGAAAACGAAGAATAGACAATGTACCGAGGCGAGGGACTTCGAGATGGCGGAGGCTGTAATATGAGCCAAAATCCCCGCCTGCGGTGTTCAGCAACTCTTTTAGCACGTGCTGGAATAGATTCGTTATGGTTCTGCAAAAAAACGAAATCAGAAAAGTGTCAAATAGTCAGGATATCAGAATAGAGCGACCAGGACGGGATCCAAACGACGCAAGTCATGGATGAGCTGCTGTTTGTTTGAAGCTTCCTGCTTGCTAATGACCATCTAGACAAACAGCAGCTCATCCGTGACTTGCATTGTTTGGATCCCTTCTTGGTCGCTCAATTCTGATATCCTGAAATTTGGCACTTTTCTGATTTCGTTTTTTTGCAGAACCATGACGAATCTATTCCAGCACGTGTTAAAAGAGTTGCTGAATTCCGATTGCAGCGTCTTTGGCTCATATTACAGCCTTGGCCATCTCGAAGACTCTCGCCTCGGTACCTTGTCTATTCTTCGTTTTCAATTTCCACTTAAATCTCATTTTCTTAGCTTGTTTTAACAAAATACCTCTTATCGTGCAGATGAACTTCCAAATTTTTCAAGTATATGCCGAAATCCGCCGTTTGCAATTGTGACAATGACCACGTCACAAAGGCGGACGCGGAGAAGATCATGGGCTGTGCCAACAAATTCCAGGACCAAGTTAAGGTTTCCTTCAAGCCAGCTCGTGTCATCCTGCAGGTTCGCGGTCGTTTTCTCCTTTTGTTCTATTTATGCCAACTCCAGCTTGCCGTTAGATCGTGGCTAATTACACAATCACATTCGTAATGCACAATCTCATTCGTGAATCATGTCCTACAGATGTGAATGACATCTCTTGTCCTTGTATTCATCGATCAGGACTTTGCTCGCGTTCCTGCTGGCGTGGACCTCGTTGCAACAAGGCACGCATTGAAGAAGTATAGCTGCAATTTTGTTACTATCGACCCTCAGATGCATTTTAATCCTCTGCTGCAGCAATGTCCTTCTGTTGCTCATAGAGTCAATGTCAAATAGAAGGCACGTACATCTTCTTACTTGAGTCTTCTCTCCTCTATCCCTTCCGTTGCCTCTCTCTTCTGCCCCTCTTGCTCTCACCATCCAATAACAGATGAAGTGATAGCAGCAGGGTTGTCTGGAAACTGCAAGCTTGAGGGCCATCTGCATCCGTTCACCCGAGCCAACTTCCCTGCATCCTCGTTCCCCATCTCCCTTGCGCACTCCCTTCGCTCTCGCCGCTATTCTCTCAACATATTTGGTGGCAGCAGCAGTGATGTCTGGTAACCATATTTGAGGGCCATGTTCATCCTCTCCTTCGAGCCAACTACCTTGCATCGCCACCCCTCGTCGTGGCATATGCGCTCGCTGGCATCGTGAGTGCTCAATGTAATGGCCTGCAATTGCCGAGTTGATACAATGTCCCTGTGGTTGTATTGTCAGATGTAAACGTCACTCGCCAAGACCTCGATATATCTTGCATTACTTCCCTTCATTCTCATGCACTCGCACTTTCATCCATTAAACTTTCAGGTGGACATCGACTTTGAGAAAGAGCGCATCGGAACGGACAAAGATAGCAACAAGGTGTTTTTGTGAGACATATGGTTCAGCAACGAGGAGGTGGCAGAGGTGCGTGCATACAAAATGTTTTTTATTATGTACAAATATAATGTACCTACTTTGCAAGGCTTACCTACCAACGCACGTAAACTATCAAATCTGGACACCCTTGTACTGACACCTGGCAGGTGGTGGGGAGGGCGGTGCGGCCGCAGTTGTTCCATTCGGTGTAGAATGAAATGAAGAAGGGCGCCATCTACACCCTCTGGAGCATCCTTCTTGCAGAGGACGAGCCTCTGGACCGCGGCGAACCATCCTCCACCTACATCAGCGACCCCCCTGGTAGGAACGGCGTGAAGGATGCCTCCTGCCAGCTCAACTAAGGTGACTCCTTTGCCACTGATCACAGCTCTGCAGGTTAGTAACAAACAACGGAATCTCGGTTTTTTAGGTTTGCGTTCCCCCAACACCCCAATGATAAGGCATAGATGATGGAACTCCAGGAGGGGTGCTGTTCGCCTTCCCATGCCCCTCAACCCATGTCCTCCTTCCCGTGCCCTACATCTACTTTGTCCTTGCACAGCCTGTCCATGTGTGTTGCACCCTCTCCCTCTCCTCCCACCACCGCCAGGCATACTCGGTGGAGCTGGAGGTGGAGGTGGCGCAGACGAGGGAGGAGGAGGAGCAGTTGCGCACTCAGCTCCTTCTGCTGCAGCCCCTGAACCATGGCCACTCCCACCATCCCTGTGTGGTGACTCTATGGCCAGCCCCAGATTCCATATCTAGTTGGGGGTGAGGCACGGTTCTTCGTTCACGGTTCAGGGTATTGAAGCAAACTAACCACTTCCGTTTATATGTAGAACAGATTTCGAACCGCTTTGACAAAGCAGAAAGTGAGCAAACGAAGTTTTTTTCGGTCTTCATCGGCAAGACAGAGAAACCGAACTCCAATTGAAACCAGTCGTGGGTGGGCCTGTGGGCTGGTGCGCCGCTCGTGCAACAAGAGGTGGGAGGGCTTTGACTGTGGCCGGCTGGTGCCGGTGTGGCAAGATGGTGTCAAGAGCCGGCCCGTGGTCGCTGTGTCGTCTGCTGCTGTCACAGGTGGGTGAATGGTAGGCATGTGTGCTTGTGCAGTGCAGTCACAGGTGGGTGAATGGTAGGCATGTGTGCTTGTGCAGTGCAGTCACAGGTGGGTGAATGGTAGGCATGTGTGCTTGTGCAGTGCAGTCACAGGTGGGTGAATGGTAGGGATGTGTGCTTGTGCAGTGCAGTCACAGGTGGGTGAATGGTAGGCATGTGTGCTTGTGCAGTGCAGTCACAGGTGGGTGAATGGTAGGCATGTGTGCTTGTGCAGTGCAGTCACAGGTGGGTGAATGGTAGGCATGTGTGCTTGTGCAGTGCAGTCACAGGTGGGTGAATGGTAGGCATGTGTGCTTGTGCAGTGCAGTCACAGGTGGGTGAATGGTAGGCATGTGTGCTTGTGCAGTGCAGTCACAGGTGGGTGAATGGTAGGCATGTGTGCTTGTGCAGTGCAGTCACAGGTGGGTGAATGGTAGGCATGTGTGCTTGTGCAGTGCAGTCACAGGTGGGTGAATGGTAGGCATGTGTGCTTGTGCAGTGCAGTCACAGGTGGGTGAATGGTAGGCATGTGTGCTTGTGCAGTGCAGTCACAGGTGGGTGAATGGTAAGCATGTGTGCTTGAGTGCAGTCACAGCTGCTGGCAGCGACGTGGGTGCAGGTGGCGAGGGACACCATACGGGCGAGGGAGGCGAGGGGAGTGAGTGTGGGCGATGAGCACATCGCAGCCATAAGGCAGCACAGCGTGGTCAAGCTCAAGCGCACGCGGCTGCACCTCGGGCCCACCTTCATCAACGGTAGGGTGCGCATGCACATGCCTCATGCATGCCCCCATAGCTCCCATGTCACCTGGGGGATGCGCCTGAGCTGTGCCCCCAGAACCATGCCATGCCCTGACATTGCAAACCATCTCCCCACCCATCCATTGTCTCTCATCCCGTCATCTCGCCCCTTCCCCCTTCCCTCCAGTACCCCTCATCCCACCATCCGCTCCGCCTACCCCCCCTTCCGCCCGCCTCTCTCCGCCCCCCTCTCCCCAGTGGCTCAGTCGCTGTCAGCGCGGCGGGATGTGGTGGGGCGGGACACTGCCAAGGTGCGAACTAGGGGCGTGGGGTCGAGGTGCGAACTAGGGGCGTGGGGTCGAGGTGCGGGAGGCGGAAGGGGCGTCAAGGGGGAGTTGGGGGGGTTGTCGGGAGGTGGCTAGTGCTTCAGGCCTGGGGTCCGCGTTTCTGCAAACGTGGATGATTTCAGCAACAAGGTCCGGGGGTGTGACGCTCGTTTGTCCCTGCGTCCCCTGATCCCTCCCCTGGCCTCACTTCTTTGTGTTGCGCCTACTTCCCTCACCCCCATCCCTCGCCCCTCTCAGGTGCTAGCGGAGCTGCAGGACCGGCTGCCAGCGTCCCCCTCAGAGGACGCCATGGCCGTCATCGAGAGGGAGCTGGGCCGCCCACTGCTGCGCACGAGCAGAAGCGCAGCAGCACAAGTGGCGGCAGGGAGGGTTTGTGGGGCAGCAGCCGCACTTCTTTGTGCTTTGCTATTGCACATACGCCCCCATGTGTTCACCTGTCAAGATCATGTATCCATGTGCCTGTATGTGTCCTGTCCCCAACCCCACCAGGTGGAGGGCGAGCGCACCAGCGACCTGCTCGCCCAGGCGCAACCCACTCCCTCCACCTCCACCCCTCTATGCCCTATAACCCCTCTGCCAGAAAGCCCATGCTCACCTACCAGGCATAACAGTCCCCGCTATACGCCCAGACCTGACCTCGCGGCGGGTGCTGGCGATGGGGCGGGTGGAGGGCGAGCGCACGAGCGACCTGCTGGGCCAGGCTCAGAGCGTGCTGGGGGGCGCTGGGGGCGAGGACGCCCGGCAGCGCGCCAAGCAGAAGCTGCTGCGCATGGTGGGGGGGAGAGGAGATGGTGGGGGATGGTGGGAAAATGATGGGACCCGGTAGGAGCAGCGAGAGAGTGGTAAGGGAGGGGGTTGTGATTTGTGGATGTCGGTGGAGAGCAATGGGTGTGGGGCACATGCAGATCCCCAGCCTGCCAGAGTGGGGGTGAGATTGGGGTGTTGAGTAATGTGCACCGGCGAAGTATGAGGCGACCCAGGCTGGTGTGAGCCCCCACGCCCCCCCACTTCGCCCTCCTGCCATTCATTCCCCATGCATCACACATCCAAGCTGCCCTTGTCCGCCATGCTCCATGCCCCATCCGCCTGCACCTGACATGCCCACTTCCTATGCCTTGATGCCCTCCTGCCATCAAGCTGCCTTGTCCGCCATGCTCCATGCCCCATCCGCCTGCACCTGGCCTGCCAGGTGGGCACAGGCGTGGAGTCATCATTGGAGCAGCTGCTGGTCCCGGGAGTGCTGCACGCTCCATGGCTCATTGTCTCTATGCTCCATGCCACACGCCACATGCCCATGTCATGTCCCACTGCTGGTAGTCCCCATGTCCCCCCCCCCCACTCTCACAGGTGGGCACAGGCGTGGAGTCATCATTGGAGCAGCTGCTGGTCACGGGAGTGCTGCACGCCGACCCACATCCTGGAAATTTTCTCCTCACGCCTCACGGCCAAGTCGCGTGCGTGCTCTCTCTTTTTCAACGCCGAGCCCTCACGTAGGCATGCACAAATTCACACAAACGCACACAAACGCCTACACCCACACACCAGCAGGCGATTCTGGTAGCAGTGGTGCCTCTAAGCTTCTCTCTCTTTTTCTCCTCACCCCCTTCCTTTTTCTCCACCCTCCAGCTATCTGGACTTCGGTCTCTTGTGTCGCATGGAGCGGCGGCACCAGCAGGCCATGCTGGCAGCGGTGGCGCATCTGGTGAGCGGCGAGTGGAGCATGCTGGCAGCCGACCTCGCTGGTAGCGCCAGTAGAGGCGGAGGCGCAGTGTGCATGGCTGACGCAGCACAGCACGGCGTGTAAGGTGGGTAAGGCGGGTAAGGCGGGAAGGTGGGGTTTTGAGTGGGTGCATGGTGGGTGGGCAAGCAGAAGAGCAATTTGGTAATGCACACATGTGTTACAGCAAGTCTCACCTTCCCCTCTCCGCTCTCGTCCCCCTCTGTCCTCTCCATCGCCCTGCAGGAGCGGGAGAAGCGGACGCGCAAGAAGGCAGCAGCAGCAGGGGTGCCGTACGTGGAAGGGGCAGCAGAGGCGCCAGCAGAGGGCGAGACCCCTGAGGACACCACCACAGGCGACGATGCCTCTGCTGCCGAGGAGACCAGCAGAAGAGCAGTTGAGTGAACATATATGAGTTCCAGCTAATCTCACCTTCCCCTCTCCGCTCATGTATGATACCAGCGCCGCTGCTAACAGCAAGGGCGAGGCGGGCAAGGGCGGAGGGGCGGAGGCGGGGCTGTCGAGGAGGGAGCAGCGCCGGCAGCAGGCGATGGTGGCACTGAGGAAGAAGAAGAGCGGGTGGGTGAGTGGGGGTGCCCTCTGGGGGGTGCGCGGCTGGTTCTTGTTGTTGTCGCTATTATCATGGCTTACTTTGTGTTGAGTGTTGGTGCGCTGGTTATGCGCCCTGCACCACACTTGTGCTCAGAATGCACTGTGCCCTGCACCGCTCACGTATCATGTGTCCCACCCGCACATGCATACCTTGTCTCCCTCCCACCATCTCTTCATGCCCCTGTCCCAAGCAACAAAAGGCACTGAACCGGGCACAGCCCCATATTTGAGGCTGAAAGCTAGATGCACTGCAGCTTGGCACATGTCATGGCGGTGGGTGTAGTCCTAGTGCTTATACACAAGCAGCATGCTTGCATTAGTTACTTTCTATACACTACAGGAGGAGCACCGTTGCTATCAGCTCTAGCAAGTCTCTTGTCTGTGGCAATCCATACTCAGTAGCAGATTGTTGCTTGCACCACTTGGCTTCATTGCAGCTACCAATTGTTTCTCAAATTGCGTTTCGGTTCGGTAGAGTCGGATCCGGTTTGCCCGACCTGGTCGACCCGACCCGACCCAACCCTGTTGGGTCGCAACACGTCGTAACGAGCCAGATCGGAAGGAGCTTCGAAGTGGGGACGCCCCATTTTGAATAATGATAAATGAAATACATGTCACGACTTCATTGCAGATTTCCACACGAAGTACAGAAAACTAACCAATTTGAATATTGTTGGGAGATAATTTAAATATAACTTCGGCATCATACCAGTGTCAAAAAAGGTATTTCATGCATAAACGCTCTTATGTTTTAGCTTATTTAGACATGATGACAGCCATATTATATGTGTGTGAATCTGATATACCTCGTTGCCAGCACAAGATCAACATTTCGAAAAGCCTAAATCGAGCTACTTGGATGCCTTCACAACATCAACTCCAACACGCGCTGCAACATGTCGCTGGTAGCTCGCGGATCGCGCGCCTTTCCCGCCCTTCTTTCGCAAGTCAGCTGTGAACTTTCGCCGCGATAGGATCGGGGCAGAGCGGTTGGGGCATGTGGGGTAGAGGAGGCTGCGGAGCGCGGGCGAGGCGAGGTCGATGAGGCGCGCGGCTGGCAGGGCCCCGCTCTACGCGCACTCCTTACTGCTCCTTCAACCTCCTGCTCTTCGCCTTCCCGCGCGCTCTTTCCTCGCCGTTTTCCTTCCAATCGCCATGCACTGCGCCGCCCCCCCGCCCCCGCTCTGCTCCGCCCTGCCCGCACTGCCGACCACGCCGCGCGCCTCGAGAAGCACGCCCGTCGCCCGCTCTCGTGGCTCGCTGGCCGCGACTCCCTGCGCGCCGCTTCCCCCATACGACCGTGTCTGTCCGCTCGACACCTCCTGGCCCCGCGCGCGCCCTCCGCCACGAGTTGCGGTCCGCCCTACTCCGCGCGCTCATGCGTGGTGGGCGCCGACTGGGGGAGCAGTGCGGGTAATGCGCAGGGGGGGCCGGCCACGTGGGGAAGAGTGAGGTGGCGGAGTGGGGGGACGGGCGTTGCAGAGTGGTGTGGGGTTGGAAAGGGTGTGGATGAGGGGGCGGCTGGTGGGTGCTCACACGGCGTACGGGCAGGCGAGCAGCACACATGCGGTGACGGCACCGGGGGCAGGGGGGGACAGCGACAAGGTGCAGAGGCGAGGGCAAGGGCAAGAGCAGTTGGCGCAGGCTCAGGAGCAGCAGGTGGGCGCAGCGGGGGAGGGGGAGGCGGGGGGCAGGGAAGAGGCGTTGGCAGCAGCAACGCCAGCGTCGCGTGCGGATGTGCAGCAGGCGGGCGGTGGTGGTGGCAGTGGCGGCGTTGCTCACAGCTCGTCGCCCTCACACGCGGTGCGTGACTCTGTGCAGGGTGGGCGTGGTGGGTGGGAGGGGGCCATCGCAGAGTGGGCAGCAGCACGAGTGAATGCGAAGAAGAGGCTGGCGGCTTAAGTGGCGCGTAGGCCCGCCCTGGCAGGCTCACTCGCGCGCGTGCACGACGGGGAGAGTGGTGCCCCCGGTGGGCGTGCCGGCGTGGCAGCGATGCATGGGGCGGGAGAAGCGGAGAGAAGCAGAGAAATGTCGCGCACAGCACAGCGGTGGCGGCAGCTCGAGCAGTTGGCGCGCGGTGAGTGGCAGCGCTGCTGGCCCTCCAGCGTCCATGGCGCCAGGCGTGGCGGTGCATGGGCACAGGCGTGCTGCCGCGCACAGCCACGCAGCACAGGACCCGTGAGCAGAGGCAGCGCGCTGCAGTGGAGGTGCAGGTGCAGGTGGAGGTGGAGGTGGAGGTGGAGATGCAGGTGGAGGTGGTGGGCACGGTGACTCGCGTGGTGGCTGAGCGCAACGGGTGGATGGCCTTCAAGCTCGGCGTCTCGAGCATGCTCCACCACCCCACAGCGCTGCCCTCAGAACTGCCAGGGCGGCCCGTGCAGCCTGGCAACCACGCACGTGCTGCAGAGGGGGGGTTCGGCAGCACGGCAGGGGAGGCGGTGCGTGCTTCGATCGCTGAGGACGGCCAGAGTGTGGAGAGCGCAAGAGAAGCAGCGCCTCTTTCCCACCCGCCCCGCCCACCATGCCGCTCAGTGAGTGCTGCTCGTCTCACTCCCTCCTCCCCACCCCCGTCATGCCGCATGCAACCCAACCCTCTGCCATGACCACTCATCCATGTCTCCCTGCGCCTTCCCTGCCGCCCCGATACCCCACTCCCTGCTCGCGCAGTAAGGCAGCACTCGGCGGACCCCGGGTGTCCTTCCCCGGTACTGCAGGCCGTCCCCGGTGTGCCCTTCCCCCTCGTTGACTCGGTGGCTCGCAAGCTCGCCTGCTCCCCCGCGCACCCCTCGCGTCCCCGCGCTCTGCTGCAGGCGTCCCTCGTGGATCTCTGCCCCAACAGCTGCCATGTGTTCGCCCCTGCTTCCTGCCACGCGGACGGCAGTGAGGCAGCGAGGCAGCAACAGCAGCAGCAGCAGCAGGCGGTGGAGTGGAGAAGGGCTATGGATGAGGGGCGGCTGGAGGGGGCCATGCGTGGACGGGCGTGCAGCGAGCTGTGGTGGCACTGGGAGCAGCTCTGGGTGGAGCGATGCGAGTGGGTGGAGTAGTGGCAGTGAGGGAAGCGGGAGTGAGGGCAGTGGGGATGGGGAGTGGGGAGGGAGTGTGTGGGGAGCAGTCGAGCACAGAGGACGGAGGGCCAGCATTGGGGCGCAATGACCGATGCTACCTCGCATGGATGCTGCAGGCAGAGTAAGCCTTTGCGCTCTATACTCTTTTGCTCTTGAACCCATACAGTCGTGAGCCCCACCATTGAAACTCGCCCTTGGCCCCGCCCCACCACCCCTTGTCGCCGCCCCACCACCCCTTGTCCCACACCCTTCCCCCCTTTACTACGTGGCAGAGGGAGGTGGCGCAGCAAATGTTGGTGAGGGCGAATCGGGGCGTGCACGGGGCAGAGCAGCTGCAGTACGTGCACGAGTGGGCAGCGCGAGGAGGGGCACGCAGAGCTGCACCTCACGGCGCAGCAGTGTGCCACGGTGGAGGCAGCAGCTCTGGCACACGTGATGGTGCTCACGGGAGGGCCTGGCTGTGGCAAGACGTACACCACTCGCCTCATCACTCGCCTCATCACTCGCCTCATCACTCGCCTCTGGACCGCTCAGGCAAACATATGTGGCTGACCTTTCATCCATTATTCCACGCATCTTGCAACTTGCGAGTGTGATCTCATTGGATGTCGCTTCTGCCTTGCCATCCGCCCTGCCATGTGCTCTCTCTCTGCCCGCCTTCCGCCACCCCCCTGCCTGCGAGCTCGCAGGTGATGCTGTGCGCGCCCACAGGGCGGGCAGCGCAGCGGCTGGAGGAGGAGAGAAGCAGAGGGCGCGCAGCATTCACAAGCTGCTGGGGTACTGCTCTAATGCCGCGGACCAAGAGCCTAGTGCTGCTGCCATGGGTGGTGCAGGAGTGGGTGGGGCGGGCAGTGGCGGGGCGGGCATGGTATGCGATGGCGCACTGGGCAACGACCTGCCGCTCTTCAACCACTACAAGGACACCCCCCTCAACGTGCACACCCCTCAACGTGCACCCCCATCAACGTGCACACCCCTCAACGTGCACACCCCTCAACGTGCACAACAAGGCCGCGCCCCTCACCTCTCAAGGTGCGCGCCCCTCACCCCTCAAGGCGCCCCCCGCCCCTCCTCTCCTTCACCTTCATAGCTTCTCGCCTGTCGCCCCTCTGCCCTTCCTTCCGCTCTGTTATTCGCACTCTGTAGTGTTCTGCTTCTCCTGTTGCCAGAACGTCTTTCTTTCACCTCAGCTTCACTCCTGCAGCCTGTTTGTTTTGAAAGAGTCCCCTTTTTGCCCTCGCAGGGACCTCCTTAGCCAATCCTCCCTCACCTCCTTCACGGCAGTATTAACTGTTGTATGGTTGGTATGCACATTTTCGCGTGTGTGCATGTGCACGTGCGTGGGTGTGGCAACGTGTGTGGGAGGGTGCGGGGCGAGCAGGCGTTGAAGGAGGCATTTGAGACGTGTTGCAGCGAGAAGCTGAGCCACGACGCCATTGAGGAGCTCAGCTGGGGTACTTTCCCGCGCCCCCTACTGCACCAGTCCATGTGCCATGTGCCATGCGCGTTGCACCCCCTCTCATCCCTGCGTTTCTAAAATGCCTCGTTACCAATAGTATGCCTCACATTGCCATATCTCAATCGCAATCGCTTGCCATGCTGCCAAAGTTCACCCAGTTTTTGTATGGGGCCTCTTATTCCCGTACCGCATCCGCTCGTCCTCTTTCTCCCTACTCCTTGATACTCTAGGCTGAGCCCGTGCCTGCTGCGCGTGTGTGAGCGGGGCAGCAGGTGTGGGTTTGTGAAGGTGCGGTGATGCCCCGGTGCGTGCGCCAATGCCCCTCTCTCCCCTCCGCCTCACTGCCCTGCGCCCTGCCGTGCCTTATGCCATGAGTGCGCGTGTGTGTGCATGTGTGCCATGGGTGCCATGGGGTGAGCAGCGCCACGACTACAGCTTGCATGTGAGCAACGGCGACCTGGGGGGCATCACCAGAATCGTCTGCCGCAACAACAAGGTAAGCCTCCAACCGCCCCGCTGCCACTCCTCTTGCTTGCCTGTACCAGTGCTCGTCGTCTTGCTGCTGCCTCCTCTGCTCCCTTGCACCAGTGCGCGTGTGCACACGCTGTGCCATGTGCCCCCTCCCATGGCCCCTCTTCCTTTGTCCTCGTACATGTGTGTGCATGTGTGTGTATGTGTGTGTGTGTGTGGAGGGGAGGGGGGGGGGGGGGGGGGGGGGGGGAGGGCGAGTGTGAGCAGGTGGAGGTGCATGTGGGCATGCGAGCAGGTGGAGGTGCATGTGGGTCCTATCGGACAGCACCGCCGCCCCACAGCGGGTCATCTACACCAACGACCATCTCAAACACCGCACTCAAGAATGGGTGCACATAATACGCCTCTCGCCCTACTCTATTCCTTGTTCTTCTTCTCCCCTTCACCATCTCTTTCTCGTCTCCCTCTCTCGCGCATCCCTCCGCTCTTTTCAACGCCGTATCCCCCCTGGCGATGCGCCCTCATGGCCTCCTGCTTCACGCCATCCATCTGCCACTTGCCCTGTCAAACACGGAAGCTTAGGTTCTCCCATCTTTCTGCTTCTTGTCATGTGGCATAGTTGCTGGCAGAGCATCACAGTGCACAAGGCGCAGGGGCAGTGAATACCCCATCGTCATCCTCCCACTCTCCGCTGACTATGGCAACTTCTTCAGGTCTGCTCCTTGCACCATGCACTTCCATGCACCATGCACTACCTTTCACCATGCACTACCATGCATCGTGCACTACCATGCACCATGCACTACCATGCACTACCATGCACCATGCACCTTGCGCTTATACCCAACCATCCCTCTGTGCCACTCCACTGCACACACGAACTTCCTGCCCCATCATTCCTCGCCCATGCACAACGCATGCATCCCATGTGTGTCCCCATGCCCTGCACCACGTGCGCCTGCCCCAGTCACAACCTTCACGGGGCTTAGGAGCCTAGGCCCCAGGGAATGACGAGAGAGTTGTCACCAAGGATCGAGAGAATGGGTTGACTTCACTATATTAGAGAGGGTACACAGCAAAGCAACAACGATGGAGGTGCACCACCTACAAAAATAATGCACACTACGGTTACACTACAGGCAAATATATGTACTAGATATAAATCTATTCAACAGTCTCCCGCTCTGGTCGTTGCTTATCTTATACCGTACTTCTCCTCAATTTTGTTGCCTATGAACCCTCCGTCTCCTCCCTCACCATCTTGCTTCCTGTAACCCTGCTGTTCTCTCCTACTTCGTCACTTTCTTCCCTCCCTCCTACACGCCTCCTCCTTTTGCTTCCCCCCCATCTTGTTTGACGTCCTCTAGTGCGTTAATATCTTTATAAAATGAACTCTTGAAATGCCAGTCTTGCAATTGTTCAATGACCTGGTCAGTTGTAAAAGTTTTTTTAAGAGACAAACGAATGGTATTCCGAATGCTTATAAGCACACTTGTTTCAAAACCACTTACGGTTTTACATTCCTTCGCAAATGAACTAGTAAAGTGCCATTCTTGCAATTTTTTAATAACCTGGTTATTTGTTCAAGTGAGTTAAACAAACAATCAAAACATCATAATGCTAACGGTAAACTTACAGCTTTATCAAGCACTGCTCCTAGCCCTTGAGCCATTGATAAGCACAAATTAGCCTATGGGAGAAACTAGGGGAGGAGGGAAGCTAGGAGTCAGGAGGCTGGAACACGCTGAGAGCGTGGAACACGCTGAGAGCGTGGAACACGCTGATGGTGGTCAAGCAGCTTCAAATCAATCTAATGGTCAAGCAGCTTCAAGCAGACTGACGGTCAAGCAGCTGGATCAGCGTCAAATAGTGGTCAAGTAGCTTCAAAGCAATCTGACGGCGGTATAGCACATGGATCAGCACCAAATAGTAGAAACCAGGAGCAGAGCGGGGAGACATACCAGCTCAAACCAGAAGCATAAGGGACGAGGGTCCATCAGGCTGGTCCCTCGTCCCTTATGCTTCTAGTTTGAGCTGGTAGGTCTCCCGCTCTGCTCCTGGTTTCCACTATTTGGCGCTGATCCAGGTGCTAGACCGCCGTCAGTTTGCTTTGAAGCTGCTTGACCTCTATTTGACGCTGATCCAGATGCTTGACCGTCAGTTTGCTTGAAGCTGCTTGACCATTAGTTTGCTTTGAAGCTGTTTGACCGCCATCAGCGTGTTCCACACTCGCAGCGTGTTCCACGCTCTCAGCGTGTTCCAGCCTCCTGACTCCTAGCTTCCCTCCTCCCCTAGTTTCTCCCCTAGGCTAATTTGTGCTTATCAACGGCTCAAGGGCTAGGAGCAGTGTCAGATAAAGCTGTAAGTTTGCCGTTAACATTATGATGTTTTGATTGTTTTTTTTAACTCACTTGAACAAATAATCAGGTTATTAAAAAATTGCAAGAATGACACTTTAATAATTCATATGCGAAGGAGGGTAAACAGTGAGACCTACTAGCTCAAACCAGAAGCATAATTCGGATTCCAGTGTGAACAACCTCGAGCCACATGGATCCACCAATCTCGATCCCGAACTTCTGCCCAGCCCCACCCAGCGCTTGTCAAACACCTCGCTCCCTAGGCGTGTTCATCCTCCTCGACAACGCTTTGCAGCTAGAATGGCGCTTAGATAAGTTCTGGATCTGGATCTGCGTTTTTCTTTTTCCCGCCTTGTGGCCCCAACTGCTCCCTAGCGCTTACAGTTTCACCAGTTGCACGTCGCAACTTTCGCGAAAGTACGCCAACCCTTCTTTCGGACGAGATGGTCAGCGGGGCCACGCACCAGATTGCTCCGCTGGGGCGCCTGCCAACTCCCTCAGGTAAGTTTTCTATACGCTTGTCTACACGCTTGCCCTGCAATCCTATTCTTAGTGCAGGTTTTCTTTTTATCGTTCTTTGCTTGGCTGCTTTTCCATTTCTGCCGCTTCATCTGTGCTATGCTGCCCCAGATCCTCCTTGTTATTCCGCTCTCTCCTTTTGCAACCCCCCCCTTCTAACTGAACGCCCTCCCCCGTGCTACTGTTTGGCGCCAGGACTCCTCTTTTCGCTTCCCCTGGTTCTCCCCCCACCTTCTCCTGCTGATCGTCCACCCCCCAACTTCTGCTCTGTGCCAGTGCTAACCGAGCTAAATCCCCTTGCGTACAGGTTTAACATTTCAGTTCGTGGTGCACCACCTTTCCTCTGCTGGGCGTTATCGCGACCTTCTCCTTGCGCAGCTGGGTCTCACACGCCAAAATCTCTACTGCAATCTGCTTTCCCCTCCCTCCCTGTTTGCTTCAGGCCACATACATTACCGCTGTGCGTTCCTTCGATGGCGACCGCTCACGCTCCGCAGCTTCGATGCCAACTGCCCAGTCTACCTCCTCTGTCCGTTGCACTTCCTAACCATGCCTATTTCTTTTGTTTTCACCCCAACTTCTTTTTTCTCAGTCTCCCACCCTGCGCTGCAAGCATTTTCCCGTGTTGTGCATCAAACTCCCTTCCCTCGCGCGTCATTTCTCCGGTCCCCAGATTATCTGTATGCTGCCCTCCACTTGGACACCTCTTCATGGCTTTTACCCTCTGGCATGCAGTAAAGGGCCAGCCTGTGATTGTCACTGCTGCCACTTCCAGAACTTTCTACGCTAACTGTATTTCTGACTCGTGCTGCCACCTAAGCACTACTCGCCTCGGGATTGCAATGGCCGCTAACCATGCACCCGCTCTCTCTCGCCCCACTTACACTGCCTTGGACGAGCCTCACTCTCCCTGGCTGCCAAGCATATAAACCGCTCCTCCTACCCTCCTTCACATCGCCCCTCTCTCCTGCTTTCTGCCAAGTACTCCCCTTGTCGTCTCTTCTCCATGGCCTCCCAGCTCCACAACACAGATGATGAGATGACTCTTGTTGACGCTGACCTGCAACTTGACACTGAAGGGCTACATCTCGACGATCTACCCGACGGCACGCTCCCGAGCGCCCCTGCTAACGACGACGCTCCCGCCCATAAGAAACTTTGCACCGAAGGTGCTACCAACGCGTGCGCCCACGGGCCCCCCTCTTCCGCGCTCTACGCGCCGATCTCCCCTGCAACGGCGCATCACGCGTCTACTACTCCACCGGCGCCCCCTGCACCTGCTTCGGCGGCCGCTCCTCTTCCCGGAGGGCCCCCTTTCACACCCGCGCAGGCGGCTCCCGCTGCTACCCCGGCTGCCTCCTCGTCTGCAGCAGAATCGTCACGCCACCTCGCTCCTGCTGCCGCCAGCGGCGATCCTGGAGATCAGATGGATCATGATGACTGCCACGCCTGCCTCTACCTCACTCTGCGCTCCCTCCTCTTTCTCCTTTCCCTCCGCACCACCCTCCCCTGCTCTTCCCCTCACCCCTTCTCATCCCCTCTCTCCGCCTTCCCCCACCCGCCCCATGTACGAGCGAGTGAAGCACATGGGCCAGCTGACCGACACCTCAAAGAAACTCTTCTTCTTCCTCTGCCTCTACCCCACTCTGCTCTCCCCCCTCTCTCTCCTCTTTCTCCTCACTGCCTCTCCTCTCTCTCCCCCTCTCCACAGCACAGCCATGTACGAGCGAGTGAAGCACGTGGGAGAGCGCACGGACAATTTCAAGAACCTATTCCTCTTCCTCTGCTACAACTGCCTTTACCTCGCCGTGCTCTACCTGCCAGCCGACGCCTCCATCTGCTTCCAAGTCACCACCGCCCCCGACGTGCTGCTGCCACCGGTGTGCGGGGATGGGATGGGGGAGGAGGGTGGTGTGTGTGTGTGCGCGCACCTGCGAGTGCATGCGTTCGTGCATGCTCGCACACGCGCGCGCGTGTGTCTGTGCCGGTGTGTGTACATGCATGAGCGTGTGTGTGCATGTGTGCGTGCGTGTGTGTTTGCGCACATCCTCATTCTTGTACCGTGCTGCAGCGCTTGTTGCTTTGCCGCCCCCACCTGCACCCCCTCTTCCCTGCTAGGGATTTTCGAGGTTTTTCAAACTCAAGCCTGACACACAGCACCTTCTCGCCTCCCTCTCTCCTCCTCCCCCTCCCTCTGCTCGCAGGACTACACAGCAGCAGCATCCTTGACCATGAACAGCCCAGACCACTTGTACACATGGCTCAACGACACCATCATACAATACAGGTGTGTGAAACGGCGTCTGTGCGATGGTGTGAAACGGCGTCTGTGCGATGGTGTGAAACGGCGTCTGTGCGATGGTGTGAAACGGCGTCTGTGCGATGGTGTGAAACGGCGTCTGTGCGATGGTGTGAAACGGCGTCTGTGCGATGGTGTGAAACGGCGTCTGTGCGATGGTGTGAAACGGCGTCTGTGCGATGGTGTGAAACGGCGTCTGTGCGATGGTGTGAAACGGCGTCTGTGCGATGGTGTGAAACGGCGTCTGTGCGATGGTGTGAAACGGCGTCTGTGCGATGGTGTGAAACGGCGTCTGTGCGATGGTGTGAAACGGCGTCTGTGCGATGGTGTGAAACGGCGTCTGTGCGATGGTGTGAAACGGCGTCTGTGCGATGGTGTGAAACGGCGTCTGTGCGATGGTGTGAAACGGCGTCTGTGCGATGGTGTGAAACGGCGTCTGTGCGATGGTGTGAAACGGCGTCTGTGCGATGGTGTGAAACGGCGTCTGTGCGATGGTGTGAAACGGCGTCTGTGCGATGGTGTGAAACGGCGTCTGTGCGATGGTGTGAAACGGCGTCTGTGCGATGGTGTGAAACGGCGTCTGTGCGATGGTGTGAAACGGCGTCTGTGCGATGGTGTGAAACGGCGTCTGTGCGATGGTGTGAAACGGCGTCTGTGCGATGGTGTGAAACGGCGTCTGTGCGATGGTGTGAAACGGCGTCTGTGCGATGGTGTGAAACGGCGTCTGTGCGATGGTGTGAAACGGCGTCTGTGCGATGGTGTGAAACGGCGTCTGTGCGATGGTGTGAAACGGCGTCTGTGCGATGGTGTGAAACGGCGTCTGTGCGATGGTGTGAAACGGCGTCTGTGTGATGGTGTGAAACGGCGTCTGTGTGATGGTGTGAAACGGCGTCTGTGTGATGGTGTGAAACGGCGTCTGTGTGATGGTGTGAAACGGCGTCTGTGTGATGTCTAGCCCACACTCTCTCCACCATCCCCCTCTTCTTCTTCCTTCCTCCTCCTCCCTCGTTTCCCCACCCTCCATCACCCCACTCCCCCTTTTACCTGCAACCATCCAGGTGGTGTGGAAGCCCCCCCCCCTGCAGCAACGCCGGTTGCGAGCGCCCCTTGGAATGCAAAGCATTCGGCCGCTTCAGCTGCTCGGCGGACTGTGGGGACCTGGCGGCCGTGACCAGCGTGACAGTGCACCTCACCACCCACTTCCACTCTGCTCTCGACGCTGCTGCCTCCTCCTGGAACCTCTGCTGCGACGCCGCCTCCCCTCTCTGCTGGTGGGTACGCCCCCTCCCCTCTCCGCCTTCCCTTCTCCGCCCTCCTTTCTCTCCTCGCTCTTCTCTCGCCCCTTTCCTCTGGCGGCAGTGGCGAGCGTGACCGTGTACCTCACCTCACCACCCCCACTTCCACTCCCCCACTGACGCCGCTGCCTCCACCTGGAAACTCTGCCGCAATGCTCCCTCCCCATCTCTGCTGCTATGCCTTTCGCCCTCCCTTCTCTGCTGGTACCCTTTTGCCCCCCTCACTGCGGCTATCTCCCCATTAGCTGCCCTCGCCTGTCTGCTCTTTCCGCCCTCCACCCTCATTTTCACTCCTCCCCTTCCCCCGCACCAGGTTCACAGAGCTGGCATCGGACACGCAGGTCACACTCGCACTGCCAGACGGCTCGTGGTCCCTCATGTACAATGCCGGGGGGAGGCGCCGCCGGCACCCTCCGACTCACCGGCAGCAGAAATGCCGTTTGCTGCTGCTGCAGTGGCTGCTGCTGGTATTGGCGGTGGCAGCAGCGGCAGCGGAAACAGCATCGACTTCGCGTCCCTCGCCTGCGCCTCCTCTCTCTCCAATCGCCCCTGAAGCTTGCTGATCCTCTCTTCAAGCCCCTCCTCCCTCCGCCTCTCCTGCAACGCCGCCTGCAGCTTCTTCTTCGCCTGCTCGCGCCTCTCCCTCTCCTTTTTTTCGCCCTCCTCCCGCATCCGGCAGCCCGCCCTCAGCTCCACCAGCAGCGCCTCCGCCTGCGCGACCTGCTTCTTTAACGCCCGCTCCCTCCGCTCCTGCACCTGCTGCTGCTCCCAGCCCTTCTCCTCCTCTGCTGCCACCAAGGCCCTCTCTTTCGCCTCCGGCGCCGCCTCTGTCTCCTCCAGCTTCCCTCTCAACGCCTCCAATTCAGCGCTCAGTTCAACACAACGCTGCTCCAATTCACCTCGACTCCCCTCAGCCGCCTCCACCATCCTCGCTTCCGCTGCTACTTCCGCCTTGCGCTCCTTCCCCAGCCCGCCCCAGCACTTCCACCGTTCCTCCAGCGCCGCTCTCTCTTCATCCGCCCGCCTTCTCTCTTCTTCCGCCTTCTCCTTCACCGCCTGCATCTCTCGCACTGCAGCCTCAGCCCTCCTCTTGGCATCTTCCTCCTCGCCCTTTGCCCGCTCCACCGCATCCCTCTTCTCCTGCTTCACTCGCTTTATCAATCTCGCCGAACTTTCCCGTACACGTGTCAGGTGCGCCTCAATAGCCGGAGAAGTCGTGGGAGCCGCGTGCGGCCTGCGGACGCTCGAAATGTCGCGGATGCTGGCTCCGGGCGGAAGCTCCTGGCCCTCATCCATTCGTAACAACCTCTCCGGATCCGCTTCCGTGTCGCTACGTTGCTGGAATCCAGTGTGGCTCATCAGAGCGTCATCCATGTCCGCCACGTGTCGCCCACGAGGCGAGCCGTCGCTCTAGGAGCTCTGGAAGTCGTCGCACAGATACTTTGCAGAGAGATGAGGAGGCATGGAGTGATGGGAGATGAGATGGGAAGGAATGGAGGTGAGATGGGGGCGGAAGTGGGGAGAGACGGGAGGGGAAGGAGATGGGTAGGATGGGAGATGCATAGGGAGGCATAGGGAGGGATAGGGAGGAAACGAGGGGAAGCATAGGGAGGTGTAAGGGATCAGCAACGGCCGAAATGGGGGGAAGCAGAGGGGGATACGAGAGGAAGGAGAGGGATTTAGCGCATTCCAAGTACGTAGGCAAGTCCCACTATGCATCACGCTTTTCGCCAAATACAACGCACGCGTTTACGTGTACACAGTGCAACGACACACAATGCGTTGCAAAAGACGGCCCGACAGAGCTGCCGTACGCAGGCATGGTACCGCGTGACCCATAATGGCAGATTTGATAGCGTTGTAGCTCAGCACACACGCAAGCTGAGTGGCACACTGCCTATACCCAAGCCACGGCACTAGCAGGAAAGCGTAAAGAAGGTCAATGAAAAAGGAACAGAAGGACGACCCTCATGAGACATATTTGGCTCCCGGCACCCCTCTTGCGCACCGCAGCGGGGCTTGCGATGGGGGGAGAGAGGGGTGGGAAGTGGGTGGGGGAGAGGTGGAGCATGGAAGTGGAGGCTTAGCAGATGCGCAAGGATCACAGCCGGGCTGCGCGAATGGTACGCGAGGGGGAGCAGGGTGGGCGCATACCGCAGGCCTTGCAGAGAGTTGAAGAAGAAGGCTGACCCTTTCTAGTCGTCTCTAGGCTCCCGGCTCTGAGACTCCCTCCTGCGCACCACAGCAGGGCCTGCAAGGGGGGAAGAGAGGGTTCGGGGAGGGGAAGAGAGAGAGAGTTGGGGGAGCCTGATTGGACGAGACCCAGGGTAGTTGGGGGGAGCGGGGAGCAGGTGTGAGAGGGACAATGGCACCACCGATGCTTTCGCTATTGAATCTGAGCCTTACTGTTGTGTACCATAGCTGGGCCGGTAACATGGTGGTGGAAGGGAAGGTGACATAAGGAAGAGATCGACACTTATGAGTTTTCTTTAGGCCCCCAGCTGTGACTCTCCCTATTGCGCACCGCTGCGGTGCCTGCGACGGGGGGAGAGAGGGGTGGGAAGTGGGTGGGTTAGAGGTGAAGCATGGAAGTGGATGCTGTTGCGCCATCCAGGTTCCAAGCCGAACCACTCTCTACGGTCACTTAAAAATACGGCAACCACTTTAGTCAGCGGTTGGCGGTTGCGCTTCAGCCAAGCCAAGCCAATGCACTGCATGCAAAAGCAAACCGGACCGGGTGGTAGAAGCAGCCTACCCACAAGCAGCAGCGGACCCATGGCCCATTGCCCTCGGGGACCTGCTGTCGGTCCAGGAGGCGTGAGCAGGGCGAGTGGACCTCCCCAGCCCCCAGCCCCCTAAGACCAGGGCCTCAGCTCGGACTGCCTACTAACCAGCCAAGCCACCGCCAGAGAGGAGAGTTCAGGGCACCGGCACACAGCCTGATTACCCCACGGCACATGATATGGCCAGCCACCCGCTGCCAGACATGAATCCAGGAATTATAGGTACACACTGGCTATTTGGTAGGCCTCTAGGGTTGCTTGTGGTAGCTCACCACTTATGTCAGGCCACTTACGTGTCTGCAGGTGTCCTTCTCGTATCGGTAGGTTAGATTTCTTAGTTCCTGCCTTACACTTGCTGTACCGTGTATTATATTCGAAGGAAGGACCGTTAGAGGAAGTGTGCGGAAAGAGGTTCACGGTCAATCGAGAGGAACATGGAAGGGCATGGAGATGGGGAAATGCATGAACATGGGGAAGTGAATAACAACAGAAAGGAGGGAGGAGTGAGAGTTGGTGAGGGAATGTAGGGAGTGTGGTGGCAAGGGATGGATCCAGCATCCGCATGGCAGGCTTCAAACTCACCTGCTTCAGCTGGCCCAGTCACGGAATGGCCCCTGAGCCTGGCCTGGGGGGCGGTTGCTCTGCAGGCCGAGAGGCAGCAGACGAGTGGTCCTGTGGAGGTGGGGAGAAGGGGAGCGTCGGGGGAATTGGGTCAGAGGAAAAGGCAAGCAGGGGACACTGGCGAACACAGGTAGATACAACCATAAGGTACCATGGGAGATGGGAGGCATGAATGGGCGATGGTGGCTGGAAAGAGAGATGAGGAGGCATGGAGTGATGGGAGATGAGATGGGAAGGAATGGAGGTGAGATGGGGGCGGAAGTGGGGAGAGACGGGAGGGGAAGGAGATGGGTAGGATGGGAGATGCATAGGGAGGCATAGGGAGGGATAGGGAGGAAACGAGGGGAAGCATAGGGAGGTGTAAGGGATCAGCAACGGCCGAAATGGGGGGAAGCAGAGGGGGATATGAGAGGAAGGAGAGGGATTTAGCGCATTCCAAGTACGTAGGCAAGTCCCACTATGCATCACGCTTTTCGCCAAATACAACGCACGCGTTTACGTGTACACAGTGCAACGACACACAATGCGTTGCAAAAGACGGCCCGACAGAGCTGCCGTACGCAGGCATGGTACCGCGTGACCCATAATGGCAGATTTGATAGCGTTGTAGCTCAGCACACACGCAAGCCGAGTGGCACACTGCCTATACCCAAGCCACGGCACTAGCGGGAAAGCGTAAAGAAGGTCAATGAAAAAGGAACAGAAGGACGACCCTTATGAGTCGTACTTGGCTCCCGGCACCCCTCTTGCGCACCGCAGCAAGGCACCCCTTATGAGCGCGCGCGCACACACACGTACAAAGCACACGCACACACACATGTGAACATACACACACACGCACAAACACACGCACACGTGTGTGGAGACATTGGAACAGGGGGACATGGGGACAGAGGGGCTTGGGGACAGGGGGATTTGGGGACTGGGGGACATGGGGACAAGGGGACAGGGAAACATGGGGACATGGGAACAGGGGGACATGGGATGGGGACTGCGGGACAAGGGGACAGGGGGCAACGGGGACAGGGGGGCATGGGGGCATGGGGACATGGAAACATTCGGACAGGGGAACATGGCGACAAGGGGGCATGGGGACAACGGGGCACGGGGACATGGTGACAGAGGAACATGTAGACAGGGGGAAATGGTGACAGGGGGACATGGGGGCATGGGGTCATGGGGACAGGGGGAAATGGGGACATTGGGGCAGGGGGACATGAGGACAGGGGGACATGAGGACAGGGGGACATGAGGAGAGGGGGACATGGGGACAGGGGGGCACAAAGACATGGGTACAGGGGGGCATGGAGACATTCACTCACTCGGTCACTCCTTGACTCTCAAACCGATGCACTCACACATTCACACTCTCACAAACTCTTACTCACACTGGATGGAACAGCGGATATATGAGAGAAGACACAAACACAAACACACACACACACACACACACACACACACGCACACACACACACACACACACACACACACACACGCGCGCGCGCACACACACGCACACACGCACGCACGCACGCACACACACACACACACACATACACACACACACACACACACACACACGCACGCACACATGTGCACATGCACACACACACAAACACACGCACACACGTGTGGGGACATCGGGACAGGGGGACGGCGGACAGGGGGGCATGCGGACAGGGGGACTAGGGGAAAGGGAGACTTGAGGACTGGGACATGGGGACAAGGGGACAGGGAAACATGGGGACATGGGAACAGGGGAATATGGGATGGGAACTGGGGGACAAGGGGACAGGGGGGCACGGGGACAGGGGGGCATGGGGGCATGGGGACATGGAAACATTGGGACAGGGGAACATGCGGACAGGGGAAATGGCGACAGGGGGACATGGGGGCATGGGGTCATGGGGATAGGGGGAAATGAGGACAGGGAGAATGGGGACAATGGGGCAGGGGGACATGAGGACAGGGGGACATGAGGACAGGGGGATATGAGGACAGGGGGATATGAGGACATGGAGAAGGGGGACAGGGGGACAGGGAGACATCCACTCACTCGGTTACTCCTTGACTCTCAAACTCATGCACTCAACCGTTTTCCCCCTGCTGCCGATCCACTGGCCCCGCTGGCAGGAGCGTTGGATCCACCTGCGTCTGTCCGTCCGCCGCTGTGAGAAACACCTGAAAAGGTTCGAATTCTTGGAGGAGAGAGAGGGGGAGAGGGGAGGAGGGGGAGGAGGGGAGCGCAGGGCGAGATCGGGGCGAAAGCGGGGTGAGAAACGGAGGAGAAAGAGGGGAGGAGAGGGTGAGCGGCGTGGAGTGGTGTGGCATGCGTCTGCCCGTCCGCCGCGTCTGCGAGTGCGCCCTAACCTCTTCGCAGATTTGCGTCTGGCTCCGCGCTCGCCCTCTCTGGCTATGTGTGTTTCGTAATAGGCTAATGACACGTACCATGCTGAGTTTTATCTTTCCTTATACGATTTTTCTTTCCAAAATATTAATTTCTGCTGTTTCTCTTCAGACACTCAAAGGATGGCTGTTCAGGAATGAATTGAAATTTGACATCCTAGACTACTTGCTTCATGTATTAAAGTCTTTTTTGGCGCAAACGACTTTCATCTGTTGCTGATGATGTGTCGGAGCCATGAAATAACACGGTTACGTATTGTTCTGTGCAGGACAGTAAATACACAGAAGATATTTCAGTGCCGGAATTCGATGCACATTAATGGTTGCTGCGTTATAGCAGTGAAACAAGTGTATGGTGTGTGAGCTATTCTGTGAATCATAATACACACATAAATCGATGTATATTCAATGCGTCAACAGTTGGAAGTGTCACTTATGTGCTTTGCAGTTCTGCGATGTAATAGTTCACCCTTGGTTGCCTACAACTCTGTACGTGCTCGTCGATTTCAAATTCGTGTACTTCTTTGTTCATTGTTCGTCTATTCATTGTCTTCCCGTTTCCCTTATAACGAGTATGCAATGGTTGAGGGTTGAGGTTAAGAATGGTACCAGTAGGGGTGCTGATGGAGTGGTGTGGCATGCGTCTGCCCGTCCGCCGCTATGGAGAACACCTGATAGCAATACGAGAGTAGACGGGAGGGAACGCAGTGACAGGCAGATCAGACGCCATCTCCCTCTCCTCCTGGAGCACCTTGATGCCCACCTGCGACTGCCCGTCCGCCGCTGTGGAGAACACCTGATAGCAATACGAGAGTAGACGGGAGGGAACGCAGTGACAGGGAGATCAGACGCCATCTCCCTCTCCTCCTGGAGCACCTTGATGCCCACCTGCGACTGCCCGTCCGCCGCTGTGGAGAACACCTGATAGCAATACGAGAGTAGACGGGAGCGGTACCGACGATTTCACGGTGTGAATGGCGCATTCCCATCATCGTGCTCACCAGTGGCGGGATCGATCAAGAGCACAACTGCATCGAAGCTCAGGGTGCTGCTGCGAGCAACGGGATGGAGGCGTGCCGTTGCGACGGATGGCGGGCCGACGTGAGCTTTCTGCCAGTAACTTTGATCGATCTGAACGAGAAACCAGCTAAGCTGTGTGTGTGCGGCTTCGTGGGATGTGGGTACGGGTACGCGCGAGAAGGCAAGTGGAGGGGTCATGGTGGTTTGGGGGTCGGGGTCACCCGACCCACGGGTTCGGCGAGTGGTACTTCCTAGGTATACTGGGGGGGTGTGATGTGGCACGCTAGCTCCAAGGATGCCAAGTAATATTGTCGCAGCGCGTTGCTTGCTAACTCCAAGGAGAAATGAATGTGCTCTTGGGCTTTGCTTCTGGAGGCTTGGTTATGGGGATTTCGAATTTTCGATCGGAAGTTCCATACTCTTTACAAGCATTGCTGGTTTGCATCTTAGGTTCGTGTTCTACTTCCTCGGTTTGCAAAAGAAATCAAACCGTCACAATTTTGAGTATACGAGATTGAGGATTTTCTGTGCAATCGGAAGCGGTTCGTTTGCTTCGAATTGAACCTGGTTACCAAATTCTCGCCCGCACAATCGTTTGCATTCGCACCATCATTCTTGTCCCTTCACACAATCACATAACAGTCACCGCCAAAACGAAAGTATGCGTTCTGATTTCTGTGAAATCAGGCGTCACCTCCACCCACCCACCTACGACGTTACCGCCAGTCGCCCCCTTGCCGTGAGTGGCGCAGACGACGCGTAGCCCTCTCGACGCTTTGACCGCGCTTCACTAAAGATTTCGCTTCTTCGCCCCCACGGCGTCAGTGGTGCGCGCGCGCATGCTCTTGTTCGCAACTGCGCGCAATGCTGGCGCAAGGGCGCGAAGAACGGGGAGGCGACGCCGCTGCTTCATTTGCTGGCGCGGCGGCGAATAGGCGGGATGGGAGGGGAGCGGAGTGTGAGGGCTCGCGCGGCGGCGTGAGGATCAAGAGCCGCGACCCAATCACCTTCTCGCGCCGCCCTTCCCGCACCCCAGCGCTCTCGCTCTCCTCCCGTCCGCGCCTCGTCCGTGCCGGTGGAGGCGCGCGCGACGACGGTGATGGGCGGCGGCATCCGCGAGGCACGCTTGGCGGCAGGTGAATGCTGGTGGGGGGAAGGCGGGGAGGAGAGGGGCAGGCGGGGAGAAGAGGGGCAGGCGGGGAGGGGGAGGGCACAATGAAAGGGATGCGCGAGGAGGAGCCGACTCACCTTGCTGTGCCGCTCGTTCGCCTCCCTCCATACCATACCACCACATGCTTTGATTTGACTCAGGTATTGAAGCTTCTGAATAGGTGGTGCTCCCTCTCCCTGCCTCCTCCCTGCTTGTACCCCATCGTCCCCCGTCGTACCCCGTCGTACTCCGTCGTTCCCCAAGTAACCCAAGGGACTGATTGTTTGGAGTGATTCTGATCCCTTTTCATTGCCCCTCTCCCTCGTCTTCCCCTTCCCCCCCACGTCCCCCTCCCCCCGTTCCCCTTTCTCTCTCCTGAGTCAGGCGCCAGCAGTGTTCTCGTTGCTGCCATGGCCCACGAGCCGCCACAGTGACTGCGCTCACTCCTCTGCTGCCCCCGCCTGGGCTGTGCTTGCTCCTGCCTTCCAAGACCCTGCGCTGCACCACTCACCTTGCCTGCGCTGCCCACCAGGTGAGGCGAGGACGAGGAGGGAAGGGAGTGGATGCAATGCGATGAGATGCGGAGGAGGAGACGAGTGGCGCGCGTGTTGCTGCTGCGCTGGCCCGCTGGCTCGTGCTTCCTGCTCCATATTGCACCAAGTTTAAGCACGCTTGCACTCAGATGCTCGTGTGTCAGATGCTCGTGTGTGGCTGTTTCGTTGTGCGTGCTGCCCCTCCCCTGTCGTCATCACTGCACGCGTTTCCTCTACCCATGGACGACATGTGAGAGGAGGAAATCATTCACCTTACTGCACTTCGCCCCATTTGCCCCCTCCCCATCTTCCCTCCCCATCTTCCCTCCCCCACTCCCGACCTCTTTCCTATTCCAGCAACGCTCTGCACTGCCCAATTCTTCTCCTTCCCCCCATTTTCCGCCTCCGCCCCTCTCCACCCTCTCTCGCCTCCCCATCCACCTTGCGCAAACACAAGTGGCGGTGAAAGCTGCAGCGCAGGAGGTGCGGCATCCCATGCATGCCCCCACGCTGCACTCGCTCACTCACTCCCACCCCACCCACGCGCCCTTCCCCTCCTGCTCTCCGCCTCGCTGCTGCTTCGAGCTGCACTCAATGACCAATGGCACACTGCCGTGCCTGGAAAGGTGCTGCGGTGGTTCCAACGGCACTGCACTGATCAAGTGCCTCTCGGTCTGCAACGGATGGCCTGTTGCTGTAACTGTCTTTTGCCTGGCGAGTCACTGTGCTATGCAAGATGTGTTGTGATGTGATGTAGGGGTGAGCACGGGGTGATGTAGTTTGAGATGTGAGGTGTCAGCTCAGCACGAGGTGGGTTGCTGTGGTGTTTGGCGTCACGGAAGAGGCAAACACCACAGCAACCCACGGCGCATACTCTCATTCACCTGCTGTGGGTTGCTGTAGTGTTTGGCATACTCTCATTCACCTGCTGTGGGTTGCTGTAGTGTTTGGCATACTCTCATTCACCTGCCCTGCCATGTCAGATACGATGTGAGTGTGCCACACTGAGTGAAGTCTCTTGAGAATTTAAGAGGAGGCAGAAGAGGATGATCAAGAACAGAGAGTCGCGAGTGAGGAAACAGGTGCGGAGCAGTGAGGTGAAGAAGGGTTTTCTTATTGTCGTGTTTCGATGTTGTGCCACACTGAGACTTTGAGAGCGAGGCAGAAGAGGATGATTTATTAACAGAGAGTTCGCTACTCAGTTCCGGGGCAGGAGGGGAGCTGTGAGGTGAGGTGGGTTAGGTGAAGTGCGGTGAGGGGAGGTCTTCAGGTGGGAGCATGAAGGTTGTGGTGTCAGGGCGAGTAATTCTGTGGGATTATGCAGCATGGCATGTGGTTGCTATCTCTCCTTACCACATGCCATGCTGCCCTTCCTTTCCCACCACCCCCATAGCTCACCTCACCACACCGCACCGCACCGCACCACACCACACCACGAAACATGGTGGACGTGCTGTCCTCTTCCCCATACCCCTCGCCCCCGTGTTGCCCCCTCTCCCCCCCAACCCCCAGGCGTACACAGGAGAGGTGGAGGCGGAGGTGGCGCAGCAGAAGGAGAGGTGGAGGCGGAGGTGGCGCAGCAGAAGGAGAGGTGGAGGCGGAGGTGGCGCAGCAGAAGGAGAGGTGGAGGCGGAGGTGGCGCAGCAGAAGGAGAGGTGGAGGCGGAGGTGGCGCAGCTGCCCACCCAGCTGTTGCACTCTTCTGTTCTAATTCGATTCTAAAGCGCACGCAGTGGTGTGTCACACAGTGGTGTGTCACACAGTGGCGTGTCACACAGTGGCGTGTCACACAGTGGCGTGTCACACAGTGGCGTGTCACACAGTGGCGTGTCACACAGTGGTGTGTCACTCGCATTCTCCTCCTCCTTCGACATCATCCCTTCTCTTTTCCCAGTCCCAATCCACCCTTCCATGATGTCCTCGTCGTCGTTTCTCTCTTGCACCCACTTGTCACCCTCCCATGATATCCTCGTCGCCTTTGTCTTTCTTCCATCACCTCCCATGCCCTGCAGCCAGCAGCCACACCTACTTACTCCCCTGCAGCAAGCACCAGCAACGGCAACACCAGCAGCAAGCATGCCACTCAGTTTCATGCCAGCAGCAGCAGCAGCCAGCCAGACCGTCCAGTCTGCGTGCACGCCCACTCTCAACCGCTGCGCACTTGCACATACCGTCTCATCATCATCACACACCTTTGCCGGGTGCAGCAGCAGCGGCAGAAGGTCGCAAGGGTGATGATGGCATTAGGACCATGGTGACACCTTCGTCGCCTGGTTTCGCTCTACATCCTTCTCAACCGCTTCTCACCTGCTCACACCATCTCGGCCTTACACTGTGAAGGGTGCCGCTGGCAGCAGTGCATGCTAACAGTCCAATAGGGGTGCCAAGGGGGGCCTAGAGACATAACGTAGGGGACACTCTCTGGTTGGCTCCGCTTAATGGAGAAAAGGCGATGTGTTGAGTATATTGTCCAACACGAATTGTTTGAAGAGTGTGAACTGTCAAACAAACTTAAAAGAGATGAGATGAGATGTGTCACTGCAACAATTTTGAAGTACGAGTCTACTCAGCTGACTAACAAACACCAAGAGTGGATTTAGCACAGTTGAACCTAGGTGATGCAGCCCACAAGCTTGTTACTAGGAAGACATGTATCCAATGTATCCAGTCAATCCCTCAAAGCTGAAACACAATGTTCTTCACTTCACTCCCTGCCACTTCCACTCCACTGATCCCTCACCACCACCACATGCACCACGCTCCCCACCACCCCTCTTGTTTGACCTCACCACAGCCACCGCCACTCCCACCACCCTCATGGGTCGCCACTGCAGAGGATGAGGCAGGGGCAGCGAGAGCTGCTGCTGCTGACACTGCTGATGATGGCCTTGATGTAAGTAGGCCGCTTCCTCCCCCTCCGCCCTGCACTCCCCCCCACGCCCCCGCTCAGTCTGTCCCCATCCCCACTCCCCCCGCCTGTGTCCGATTGCCCCCCTCCCCCTCCGCCATCACTGCCCCCCACCTCTCCCCCCGGCTCCCCACCCCATCCGCCACAACCATGCTCGCCCCAGATAGCCCCCCCAGACCCCCCAGCCCCCCTGCGCCCATGCCTGCACCCACGCCATATGTAGTGGGCACCATTCCCCCACCCACCCCCATGCCTCCCCCAACGCCTCCCCCAATCCCTCCCCCCATACCCATCCCCATAGCAAGCCCAGCAGCAGGCGGGTGTCTCAGCGATCCCAGCGCTCCCATGGACCTCCCTCCTTGCACTCCCAGCGCTCCCATGGACCTCCCTCCTTGCACTCCCAATGCACCCAGCGACAGCAGCGGCAGCGTGGCGTGGGGCAGCAAAGACAGACGCCACGTGGCCGTGCCCCGCGCCTGCCACTGCCGCTGCTGCCATCTAAACCACCGCCTGCTGCTGCTGCTATTGCTGCTGCATTGCCTGCTCGCCTCCCCCACCACTTCCTCCTCCGCCGACCCTGCCAGTCAGCTGATTCTTGTGGCGCTGCAAGGACGTCATGTCTGCCTGCCCTGCCTCCCCTGCCTGCCCTGCCTGCCCTGCCCTGCCCTGCCCTGCCCTGCCCTGCCCTGCCCTGCCCTGCCCTGCCTGCCCTGCACACGCGGAGAAGTTGGGAGGGGAAGTCAAGAGGTTGGAAGGGAGGAAGACGAGAAAGTGGACGGATGGGAAAGGGGGACAGAAGTTGTTTGTAGGCCAATCATGCAGCACCTAAATCATCATCACTTCATCCAAACGACCTTACATCACTCCCTGCTTGCTCCTTCTTTCGGCAACTAGTCTAAGCATGTCGGTGTAACAAAGAGATGGGTTGCCAACGCCGAAGGGCACAAACTCGTAGTCCAGTGTGTAGGGCAGTTTCCCCTGCTCACTCACCCCCCTGAGACACTCCAACCCATGCCACCCACCCCCCACTGCCACCCACCCACCCACCCAGCCACCCACCCGCCCCTGCACCTTCCCTGAGTCCTCGTCCCACCTTATTCGCCACCAGCCTGAGCATATCCGTGTAGCTGAGAGACTGGTTGCCAACTCCAAAGGGCACGAACTCATAGCCCAGCGTGTACGGCAGCAGCCCCACTGCCGCCCAGAAGACCTCCACGCAGAAGCCGGTGATGGTGTCGTTAGTGGCTTTCTGCACAAACTGCGTGAAGTCCTGTGATCGTGGTGGGGGAAGGGGTTGGGAGGGAGAAAAAGGAGGATGGTGGGTGGGAGAAGAAATGAGAGGGAAGGAAGTCAAGGTGAGCAAGAAGGGGCATCAGAAAGAGCTCCACACTGAAGCGGTGAGCGTGTTGTTTGTGGCTATCTGCACCAATTGCGTGAAGTCCTGATGCTTTGTTTCTTAAGAAATCCTCAACAAGAAGCACAAGTGCTTGTTCCCGAGGAGCTTGTAACTGTGCAAAGCACAAGTAACAAGGAAAAGAGTTTCCGCTGCAGAAACATTGCTTTGTAGCACGGCTAAGTTGCATGTTTGATGTTGTTGCCCGGTGGGAGACCTTACCTGCTTGTACGGCATAGCGATCCTCAAGGGCGTGTGGGCACGCGGGAACCAACCACGCGGCAGCTGGGCAGAACAAAGAAGGTGCGCGCGGACCAGCATGCTTGCTGGTCCAACAAGCGCGCAGACCAGCAAGCGGGCCATCATGCTTGCTGGTCCAAAAAGCGCACGGACCAGCAAGCGGACCAGCATGCTTGCTGGCCCAACAAGGGCGCGGACCAGCAACGATTGCAAAAAAAGGGGGGGGTCGTAGAATGAAACGATTGCAAGAGAAATATGGCACTTGTGATGAGCAAGCTCGTTATTGATGGGCAGAAGGAAAACGCTCAAGAGAACACCCCTTACTCCGAACAACAGCACGATTGCAATACTTGAACAAATTGATTAGTATAACGTACATACCCGATAATAACCTGTGTAAAACAGCGAGGAATGTCTGTAACTCATTTGAAGCTGTGTGACACTGTGACTTACAAAGGAGACCCCGCCCGGCCATATGACACCTGCTAACACCGATTGGCCCGAATCCTTGCTTGTCGATGAGGGCTGGTGTGGGTGGGTGTAACACGGGAAAATAGCTGGAACATTGTGAGAGAGGTCTAATTTTGAGGCGCCTCAAAACTTAAATCTGAGCCGCCTCAAAAAGAGCTGCATCATTGCGAGAGAGGGAAAGCTGACTTGAGAATCAGTCACAAGGTTTTGGAAATGCCTGCTGGCTGGTCTGTGAAAAGAAATAAAGAAAGGAAAAAAAAAAAGGCAAGGAACACTGCAAGCTGGTGTGGGTACCGCTAGCTAGTATCACTCCACTCCTCCTCACCTCGAGAGAAGACGAGAGGCCACCCTCTGTCGTCCAGTAGCCAATGGAGCGCAGCCGGCCGTTGACTGCATTGAGATCACCTAGTGCTACCAGTGCCATCAATGCAAGCAGTGCTCCTCCTCACCTCGAGAGAAGACGAGAGGCCACCCTCTGTCGTCCAGTAGCCAATGGAGCGCAGCCGGCCGTTGACTGCATTGAGATCACCTAGTGCTACCAGTGCCATCAATGCAAGCAGTGCTCCTCCTCACCTCGAGAGAAGACGAGAGGCCACCCTCTGTCGTCCAGTAGCCAATGGAGCGCAGCCGGCCGTTGACTGCATTGAGATCACCTAGTGCTACCAGTGCCATCAATGCAAGCAGTGCTCCTCCTCACCTCGAGAGAAGACGAGAGGCCACCCTCTGTCGTCCAGTAGCCAATGGAGCGCAGCCGGCCGTTGACTGCATTGAGATCACCTAGTGCTACCAGTGCCATCAATGCAAGCAGTGCTCCTCCTCACCTCGAGAGAAGACGAGAGGCCACCCTCTGTCGTCCAGTGGGCAATGGAGCGCAGCCGGCCGTTGACTGCATTGAGATCACCTAGTGCTACCAGTGCCATCAATGCAAGCAGTGCTCCTCCTCACCTCGAGAGAAGACGAGAGGCCACCCTCTGTCGTCCAGCAGCCAATGGAGCGCAGCCGGCCGTTGACTGCATTGAGATCACCTAGTGCTACCAGTGCCATCAATGCAAGCAGTGCTCCTCCTCACCTCGAGAGAAGACGAGAGGCCACCCTCTGTCGTCCAGTAGCCAATGGAGCGCAGCCGGCCGTTGACTGCATTGAGATCACCTAGTGCTACCAGTGCCATCAATGCAAGCAGTGCTCCTCCTCACCTTGAGAGAAGACGAGAGGCCACCCTCTGTCGTCCAGTAGCCAATGGAGCGCAGCCGGCCGTTGACTGCATTGAGATCACCTAGTGCTACCAGTGCCATCAATGCAAGCAGTGCTCCTCCTCACCTCGAGAGAAGACGAGAGGCCACCCTCTGTCGTCCAGCAGCCAATGGAGCGCAGCCGGCCGTTGAAGGAGCGGTGTGGAGGATCTGGGTGCGCTACTGTGGTCCAGTAGCCAATGGGAATGCCTTGTTATGCTTGACTTCTCACCTCGAGAGAAGACGTCAGGCCACTCTCTCTGGTCCAGTAGCCAATGGAGCACAACCGGTCGTTGACTGCATTTACTATTTCAAACGATGTGAAAATGCGATCACCCTGTGCGTCTAGTGCACTCTGTAAAGGGGGAGGGAAGGGAAGTGGGGGGAGAGAGAGTGAGGGGGGAGGAGAGGGGATTTCGTTCCAGGGAGGATGTCGTTGACCTGACCGCATTGACTGCATTGACTATCTCACACGACGTGAGAATGCGAAGGGGGGGTACATACGTAGGGGTTAGGCACAGCCTGGCGTTGACTGCGTTGACTGCATTGACTATCTCAAATGATGTGCCAATGCAATCGGCCCGTGACCCCGTCAACTGGCGTTCGTTCGTATGATAGCCGCCATGAGCCGTGTGGAAACATCGATGCAATGTAAGAACCCTCTGTCTAGTGCACCACAACTAACAACATGCACCGCTCGCTCACCTCCCTGTGACCCCGTCAATTGTTGTGCGTATGAGAGCCGCCATGAGCGGTGTGGAACAGCAATGCACGAACCCTGTCTAGTGCACAGCACAGCGCCACCACTAACAACATGCACTGCTCGGCGCTCGCTCACCTCCCTGTGACCCCGTCAATTGTCATGCGTGTGACAGCCGCCATGAGCTTTGTACCATGTGGTAGGGGAACAGGACAGGTGACGTGAAGAGACAGAGAGCAAGGAGAACGGACTGGCATGTTACTGGGCAACCACAGAAGAGAACAGCACCACGCTGGCCACAGCAGGCAGGCAACAGCAACACGCAGAGCGACCGCAGCAGTCATGTCCAGTGAGCGACCATGCTCGCATGATGGCAATGGCGGGCCATGAGCTTTGAACTGTCTGAGAGGACCCGGACCATTTCAGAAGGAGAGAGGAGTAAGCACACATGCAAGCCAGAATGGGAAGGGAGTGTGTGGTCATGCACTCACCCACACTCCCTATCACGCACGCACCAAGGTTCTCCAGCAGCCGTGCCAGGTCAGTAGACGCTCCTCCTCCCTTTGGCAACTCCACCGCTTGCCACCGCTCTAAACCAAAAACTCCCCCATTCAAACCCCCCAACCCTGTCGCTGCTTCTGCTCCTGCCAGCCTCCCAGTGCTATTGGTGCCGCTGCCACTGTCACTGGCGTTGCCGTTGGCGGCAGGAGGAGGGGCGTTGTTGGGGGTTGGGGAGTTGGGGTGGAGGAGCGCGTGGATGGAGTGGGCGATAAGGGAGAGGGAATCGTAAGTAAAAAGCTAGGTAGAGAGTGGTCTGCAGGGGGGAGTGGGGGATAAAGGGGACAGGATCAGGAGAATAGTGGGGGGACAGGGGTGACAGAGAGAAGATTTGGGAAGGAAGGTGGGGGGGTCGTGTAAGGGAGCGTGTGGATGGAGTGGGCGATAAGGGAGAGGGAGTTGTAAGCGAAAGCTACCCTCCCTACCTCCCTCACTCGTCAAAACTCCCCTCCTCTCTCTCACCGTGTCAAACGCCCCCCGCCATTCGTCGCATTCCCATTCCCATCCGCCTGCCACGCGCGCTCAAACTATCAAACAGCTCTCAAGGCGCCTCAAGCTCCTGCTGTACCTTTCTCACACACCACCCACCCCCTTCCCCCCTCTCTCTCACCGTGTCAAAGGCCCCGCCGCTAGTCGTCGCATTCCCGTCCCCATCCGCCTGCCAGGCGCGCTCAAACTCCGACAGCTGGGGGTTGGGCGGCACGAAAACGCGTGTGCCGATTATCCCCTCCGTTGAAAGCTCAGGCAGGTTCTCTAACTCCGCCACCACTCCCTCGGTTGCAATCCATACGTACCCCGGCGTCATCATTCCCACTTCCGATGCTGCTCACGGGGTGAGGAAGAGAGCGGGCATAGACAGAGAGGCACGGAGGTGTTTGTTGCTGCACTTTCCGTTAGAGGTTCCACAGCCCCGACGGCTGGGGGTTGGGGGCATGAAGACCCGCGTGCCGATCATCCCCTCAGTGGAGAGCTCTGGCAAATCCTCTAACTCCGCAACCACTCCCTCCGTGGCTATCCACACATAGCCCGGCGTCATCATTCCCACCTCCGATGCTGCTGAGAGGGGAAGGAGGAGTGGGCAGAGGGAAAGGCATGGAGGATGAAGCGAAGGGCGGCCTCCAGCTTCTGGGCGGCGAGCGAGCGGAGCCAGCAACAGTGGGAGGGACCATCAGCCTGGGACAAGCATACCAGCACAGCACTCAGCCTACCAGCACTCAGCCTACCAGCACTCAGCCTACCAGCACTCAGCCTACCAGCACTCAGCCTACCGCCAGCAGAAGCAGGCAACAACGTGACATACCAGCAGTGAGCACGGGCACGATGAGCTCGAGGTTGAGCTGGAGAAAGAAAACGGTGGACTCCAGCTTTTGAGCAACGAGCAGGCCACAGCGAGAAGGAAGAGAGACCTATGCGCCAAACGGAGCTAGCACTCAACCTACTGCAGTCACCACACACAGCACCCAGCCTACCAGCAGTAAGCACAGGCACGATGAGCTCCAGGTTGAGGTGGAGAATGAAGACCGTGGACTCGAGCTTCTGAGCGGCGAGCACCGAGCAGACAACAGTGTGACCACTGGCCATATGGGAGCTGTCAGCATAGCAGCACGCACCCCAGCAGCACACAATCAGTCACCCAGCCTACCGGCAGTGAGAACAGGCACGATGAGCTCAGGTTGAGGTGGAGAATGAAAACGGTTGATTCCAGCTTCTGGGCGGCGAGCAGATGCACGATGATGTCGGAGGGAGAGGCGTCAAGAGGCACAGCTATGCCTCGGGAAGCCACGGGCGACCGGGAACGCCATGGCGCGGCGGGAACGCCATGGCGCGAGGGCGGAGGGCGGAGAGGGTGGCAGAGAGGCGGAGTGGCGGAAAGGCGGGGAGGCGGAAAAGCGGGGAGGCGGAGGCGGGGATGCGGACTGGCACCGAAGAGGCGGGGATGCGGACTGGCACCGAAGAGGCGGGGATGCGGACTGGCACCGAAGAGGGTATTATGTACAGATTGGGCGCCGACAGAGACGGCGACGAGCGTACGATTCGAGAGGCGCCTAGAAAATAGGTGGCGCGAGAGAGGAGATGGTATTTACAATGGGAAGGCGGCTATATGGTGCACAACTAAAATTTTCGATAGATACGGTGCACTGTCGGTAACAATGGTATTATGGGCACAGTCGCCTTGTGTCGCTACTTGCGGGCTGATGGCGAGAGGGGATGCGACTCGGGGTAGGACACAGTTGCCTCGCCATGTAAACCAGGCCCAGAACTTAGCGGGCCCAGAACTTAGCGGGCCCAGAACTTAGCGGGCCCAGCACTTAGCGGGCTGAGATGGCCTGATTTCAGCCCTTAATTGTCCGGGTTGAGTCGAACTTCAGCACTTAAATTCAGGGCAAAACGTCATTCTGCACTGGGGCGTAAACACATGAGTGAGTGGCTAATGTTCAAATACACTTAAGGACTGTGGTACATAGCAGATCCATAAGCCTATCCACTATGTAGCGGGGGGGTGGAGTTGGTGAGATCTTTACGTAAGCAGGGACTGAATAACAAGGGAAACGAGGGGTATGTGGGTAGGGAAGGGCTCCGATCGTATAAGTGAAATCCGAGGAAGGAGCTGAAACAGAAACGGGCTAGCCTCAACGCCAGCACTTGAATTCCCTGAGCTGGGCTCAAACAGACACTTGAATTCAAGGGCAAAATGGAAAATGCCCTTGTAGCAACAGGCCTGATGGCGAGGCAACTGCTTTGCTTCGATATGGAGCGAGTGCTTTTTTACAACAGCTAGATAGAAGAACATGTTTATATCTAGCTGTTTTGACCTCGAGAGTCCCTCCCATCCCCCCCAAGTTTCAACAAATCTCTTCTCAGCGCACGCAGACATCATCAGCAGCCGCGTCGCGCATGCTATAATCGCCACCAACACCATTTTTATTGCCCGGGCATTGACAGCCGCCGACGAAACGAGCACCGCCGCCCATTGCGGTTTCCCTAGTGATTGCCGCCGACCCTGTTCCTTCTCCGCGCTGCGTTTCGTGTTCCGCGCGACTCTGTCACTCCGCGTCCACCCCGCCTTGCCCCCAGGAACGCGCCTCTTGGCGAGTGTTACACATTAGTAGCGAGCGAACACATTAGGTGGGTCGTCGCCGCTGCGGCGTTTTTCGCAAGCCATGCGAACTCCTCATTTTCGAATCATCTACTCTTGTCTTCCCATCCCGCCCTATCCCTGTTCTCGTTCCGTTCCCCCCTTCGCCAACCCCCCGGTCCCATTCTTTTCCAGAATACCCTTGCAACGCGCGCGCCTACTCTCCTCCGCCCACTCGCTAGCCGCCGCTTCCCTTCTCCGCACCGACTGCTGCGCCACTCCGTCAAGCGCGGCGCGCGCTTCCCCGAGCAGGCGGAGGGTGTGGCGCGCAGCAGCTGCAGGGGGAGCGGGCGAGGCGGATGCGGGGGCGCCGCCGCTGGTGACCGCTGCGGGGAATAGCGCAGTGAGGGCGGGTGAGTGGGGATGGTGAGCGCGGGTGAGTGGCGGTGGGAGAGTGGGGGCGGGTGAGTGGCAGTGGTGGGGGGAGGGCGGGTGAGCGAGGTAGTTTTCCTTTCCTCCCCTCCTTCCGCCCTTCTCCCCTCCCCACCAGCATCCCACGGTCTGTCCGTTTGATTTTCCAGAATTCCTTCCCCACACCCTTCCCCCCTCCTCGCACCCTTCCTCCCCGCTCACTCACCCTCCTCTTTTCCGCACACACTTCACCCTCTCTCACGCTTCCCCTCTCACACCCGTTCCCGCACCCCCCCCCCTCTCTCCAGTCTCCGCCACGCGTTCAGGTTGCGCTGCCCCAACAGTGGCAGTGCGCAACCCGGTGGAGCAGGCGCAGTAGGCTACGCGCAGCTCTGCTCCATCATGGCCCGCTCGCACCACCGCCGCACGGGGTATCCCTTGGGTCGCTGGTCGATTTTACGACCGATGCTGATTGCCGCGAGTCAACGAGGGGGAGGGTGGGGGGGGATGGGGAGAGCAAGATGGGCAGTTGGGGCAGGGAGAAGAGGGGAGAGTGAGAGGAAAGGGATGCATACCCAAATGAATGCATGTTGACATCCTACACTCCACCCCCCTTTCCTGCCATTCCACCCCACCATCCCCCCACCCCATCCCCCCCAGATCCCATGTCCCTGCTCTCCCCTCTCCCGTTTGGGCATGCATCTGTGCAACCTACACTCCACCCCGCTTCCCTGCCATTCCGCCCCCCCACCCCATTCCCCCCAGACCCCGTGTTCCTGCTGTCCCCCCTGGGCATGCACTCGTGGTGGTGCAGGTCCCGGAGTGAGTGGTTTCGCCAATGCGCGCGCCACCGTCTTTGGGGATTGCTACCCCCTGCCGCCCAGCCAGCCAGCAGGTGCGATTGCCATCCCTGCCGCCCAGCCAGCAGGTAGGATAGGTACTAGGTACCAGGTAGCAGGAGGTGCCACTGTTCTTAGCAAAGAACGACCTGTGAGTGAGCATGCAGCAGCAGGTGCACCAATGGCCTCGCCATTGCTGGTGCGATTGCTGGCCTCGCCAATGCGCGTGCCACCATCTTTGGGAATCTCTGCGCCCTTCCACCCAGCCAGCCACCAAGGGAACGTATCGATATGAGCTTGGTCGGCACCAGCATGGGCTACACGAGTGCTCCTTGCACTATGCATCCTCTACTGCTCTTCACCTCCCTCCATTTCCCCCCTTCTTTGCCCCACCTCCACATCTTACCTCGGCACCAGCACAGGCAGCGCAGCAGTGGTGGAACTTTCAGTTTTACCTCATGGATACCATTCATGTAGTAAGCGCATTCATCTGGTCAATTGGTAACCGCTTTCGGCAACATCTACTTTCTGGGGGGGGGTTGGCACAGTGGCATGGATTGACGTGGTTGAGTATGTGAAACGACACTCACATAATTACACCCTCTTGCCCTTACCCCTTCCTCCCCATCTCGCGTTTCCCTCCCCTGTGCCCCCTTCCAGCGACATTGACTTTTTGGGCAGCTTTGGCATGGTGGCGTGGATGGATGAGGCTGAGTATGTGAGACCGTTCTTCAACACACCCATGTCCTTCCCTCCCGCTCCCTCTCCTCCTCCTCCCCCCTCCAGTGACATCTACTTTGTGGGCGGTTTGACACGGTGGCATGGATACACGTGGCTGAGTGTGTGGCGATGCCGCCTGATACCATCGCTACTAACACCGGCACGTTATCGTGATCGGGATGCGAGGGGAGCGGAGTGTGAGGGCTCGCGCGGCGGCATGAGGAACAAGAGCCGCGAGCCGATCACCTTCTCGCGCCGCCCTTACCGCAGCCGCTCTCTCTCGCAATCCTTCCCCCTGGCATCGTCCGCGCCTCGTCCGTGACGGTGGAGGCGCGCGCGACGACGGTGATGGGCGGCGGCATCCGTGAGGCACGCTCGGCGGCAGGTGAATGCTGGTGGGGGGATGGCGGGGAGGAGAGGGGCAGACGGGGAGAAGTGGGACAGGCGGGGAGGGGGAGGGCACAATGAAAGGGATGTGGGAGGAGGAGAGGACTCACCATGCTTTGATTTGGCTTAGGTATTGAAGCTTCTGAATAGGTGGTGCTCCCTCCCCCTGCCTCCTCCAACTTGCACGCACCGAGTACCCTGAGCGGCTCTAACAATGTTGTATCAGTTTAATATATCGTGATCCTGCTCTCCAGCAGGTAGGTACCTCATCGTACGCCCTCGTATCCCATCGTATCCCATTGCACCTGATCGTACCCCAATGTATCTCGTCCTACCCACAGTAACCCAAGGAAATGGTTGTTTGGAGTAATTCTGATCCTCCTCCGTGCCCCCTCCCCCTCTTCTTCCTCCCACGTCCCCCTCCCCCCATTCCCCCTTTCTCCTCTTCAGGCCCGTCCTTCCCCCTCCATATTGCACCAAATTGAATCACGCTTGCACTCAGGTGATCGTGTGTCAGATGCGTTTGTGGCTGCCTCGTTGTGCATGCTGCGAGTACCGGTCGCCCCTTCCCTGCCTTCATCACCGCACCCCTTCCCTCCCTTCATCACCGCACCCCTTCCCTGCCTTCATCACCGCACCCCTTCCCTGCCTTCATCACCGCACCCCTTCCCTGCCTTCATCACCGCACCCCTTCCCTGCCAAAATCACCGCACCCCTTCCCTGCCTTCATCACCGCACCCCTTCCCTGCCTTCATCACCGCACCCCTTCCCTCCCTTCATCACCGCACCCCTTCCCTGCCAAAATCACCGCACCCCTTCCCTGCCTTCATCACCGCACCCCTTCCTTGCCTTCATCACCGCACCCCTTCCTTGCCACGGTTTGCTCTGCATTGCTGAGGTGGCTGCCAGGCTCGAGAGGTGGTGGGGCAGGGCTGGGATGTGGGGGGTGGCAGGTGGGTGGGGCAGCTTATTGATGGCCCGTCACCACTCGTGCTGCTGCCCCTGCTGCCCCACATGCTCCCCTGCCTGCGTTGCTGCCCACTCCCAACTTGTCTGCCCCGGGCGCTGCATCGTGTGCTCTCCCGCTCCCATTCGCTTCGCTCGTCCTCCACTGCTCCGCTGTGCTGCACTGCACTCCCTCCTGCCTGTGCCTCGCCTCACTCTCCAAACCCTCTCCCTGCATCTCCATCAAACGCCCGACTTGCCAGTTGCACCGTTCCCACTTTCTTCCCCTCCACGCCCCTCTGTGTTCTTTCCCCACTTGGCCGACCCTCCCCCTCGCCAGCCACACCCTCGGCGAGTGCCAGCGTGGTGCAGCAGTATGGTTACCCAAATATGGAGATGAAGTAAGTGGTGCAGGTCAGTCAGACCATGCGTAATGGCAGCTGCACTGCACCGCAGCATTGTGTGCCCTCGCTGGTCGCGGTAGTTGCATTGTCCTTGAGGCATCTGACGGCTAAATCTGACTGCACTGACTGAGTACGTGTAACAACTGTAACCGCATCCAACTGCATGTGCTGTGCGCATGTGAGTGCTATGTGCGTGTGAGTGATGTTCGTCTTCCATGCCACGCCCTCCATTCCATGACACATGCATTCTCTAGCACCACTCTCCAATGGTCGTGTTCCAAGCACCTTCTCTCTAAGCCCCCCACTCCGAATTTTTCCAACCCTCTCCGACACGCTGCATCCTCCCCTCTCCACCCTCTCCGCTTACGCATACGCCTGCGGCTCCCGCAAGTGGTAGTGGCAGCTGCAGAGCAAGAGGCATGGCATCCCCATGCACACCCCCACCACACGCTGCACTTGCTCATTCACACCCACCTCACCCAAAAATGGCTTCCAATAATTCACTCAGAAAAAGGTTCGAAGAAACCAACCCACTGCTTTTCCTCTCCCCCCCGCCCGCCATGCATGCAGGTGTGTCTGCGGGAGCTGCATTGGCGCAACAGTCTGCTCATCATGTCGCAGTGTGTCACCCATCAACATATCCCAGATGGTCGCCTGTGTGGGCCAGCAGTCCGTCCGTGGCAAGCGAGCGCCCAACGGCTTTCTGCACCGCTCCCTGCCGCACTTCCCCCACCACGACCGCTCGCCACAGGTGTGCAGTGCAGTGCTGCTGGTATGCGGTGTGGTGGTGCGTGGTTCTCCGCAATACAACTGGTTTTTCTACGATCTGTAGGTGTGTAGTGTGATAGATTGCATTGCTGTGCACTGCAGTACAATATAGCACAGCACATGGCTCAACTATGTTTCTGGGACTCCCTCCTCTTCATATACACGCCCTCCTCATTACCTTCTCGCCCTCCTCACCATCACCACCACGGCAGGCGAAGGGCTTTGTGGCAAACTCTTTCAACAGCGGGCTGACACCCACCAGGTTTGTGTTAAACACCATGGGCAGCCGAGAGGGGCTCGTTGACACTGCTGTGAGTGCTCTGAACCTTAAACCCAAGCCCCACTGAGTTTTCGACTCACCTGTGAGTGCTTGCTCCGCCCTCCCACATCCTTCCACTTCCGTCTCACCTTCTCTCCAGGTATTTTTTTAGAATTCTCATAATGACCTGTTGCCCACCTTCGTATGACTACTAAAGCGCAACTGCTTGCGCTGCAGCTCTTTCCCAAATGACCCCTCCACTCACGCCTCCCCGTCATGTGATTGCCCAGGTGAAAACAGCAGAGACGGGGTGCATGTTGCGGCGGCTGATGAGAGCACTTTGGATCTGTCATTTCATACGATGGGACTGTGCGGAACGCGAGTGGGGGCATCGTGCAGATGCGGTATGGCGATGGTGGCATGGACCCCACTCACATGGAGGATTTGTCCTTTGGCGAGCCTCTCCCCCTCAGACTTGTGTCATTTCTTCCCCTCCCACCATCCCATTGCTGCTGAGATGCCCTGCCATGTGAGATACGATGTGAGTATTCTGTCAAACACACCTTCACACACACATCATCACAATCGCACTCCACGCCCTGTACCCATCTCCAAGTGTATTCCCTGCATTGCCTTCCCATTTCTTCTCCGCTCCTCCATGTTCTCGCATCACAACCCATCGCTTCTTGCTGCTTTCATATTACCCTCCCCCCACATCTCCTCCCTTGCAGTGCAGGTGTGTAAATGGTGTCGCTCCCATCTCTCGTTCAGGAAAGTCGCTCTGGGAACTCCTGCTGTCTCTAGCTCGTCCATGGTGACATGTTTGTTGTTCGTATTGCAAGTGGGATACTGGTGATGCTGTGCATTGATAATTGCTGAGCGTACCTGCCTATATTCATGAGACAAGTTATTGTGTATTCTTTTGTGGCGGTGTTTCATTGCCAATCCAAATCAACTCCCACACTATGGTTTGCTCTGTTGAATTCTAAGGTTTTACAAGGTACATGCCAAGCTTACATCAAACAACATACACCCGTTTCACCATAGTGACCCCATTATCACCGTTTTACGCGATCAAAGAATTTGTAATGAAGTCAGAAGAGCGGTGCAGAATTCCCTAGCTTGTGTCAGAAAACCTGTCTTCATGTCAATGCCTGCACTGGCCTTCACCACACTGCCACCTTCGAGTCATCCCTAACTCCTTCGAAGCCCATCCTACCTTCCAAGCTCCATCCCCAACCATGCCAAATACACCTCGACGCCCGAGCCTAGCATCCCGTTCACCTGGAAGCCTGGCGAGCAGCGGCCTGGGCGTCATGGCGGGTGCGGCGGTCGCGGATCTCCCTGTCGCGCTCCTGCACCTTGTTGTAGAGCACAGGGTCGTTCTGCTGCAGCGTGGCTGGGTCCTCCGCGTAGCACACGTAGAACGTGCCCACTGCACTGTCCACCACCGTCAGCGTCATGCCCGTCTGCCAACACACAAAGCACACAACACACACGCCATGCCACACCACAACCAAAACGCATACAGATGGCTCTTTTGGTGCTTTTGAAAAATGCATTTGAAAGGAAGCGAGGGGTGAGGCGAGTGGAACAAGGCGCAGAAGAAAGCGGGTCGTGCGACCCTGAGAGGCAAGATGGCGAACGAGTTGCCTCAAATGATGCACCGCAGGCAACACTGCAGGGCCAGCGATCCCCCTTTCACACCCCACACACAGCTCCCCTCGCACATGCACCTACGATCATGCCGCAGCACTGACCCCCATCAGCCATTCACACTCGGAACCCAGAACCACCCATCAGCCCAGCCCATCGCATGCACACACGAGCCATCCCACTCACCCATTCAACCCCTCCACACCCCCTTCCCCCATCCCTCCTCCCCCCTCCTCCCATCCCTTCAAAAATTATCCCAGCTTGCGAGTCCCAAGCCACGCCACAAGTGCAGAACACACAACGCAAGGAGAAGGAGAACCTACCAGAACGAGGCCAATAATGAAGCTGACGACGGAGACGGCGGCGAGCAGCTCAACGGTCTTGTGCAGCGAGAGCAGCCCACCCACGAGCGCGGCCACGACGCCCCCGATGAACATGCCCAGCCCCAGCACGCCCCCTGAGAGATCGTCATTTATCAGCACGTCCACCCCGCGCGCCTTGAACAGCTCCCACGTGTCCTTGGATGCTCGGATGAACGTCTTGCCGTACATTGCGATCTGCGTGGGGAGGCGGAGAGTGGGGTGGGAGAACGGGGCGGGGTGTGGGGACAGGGAATGGCAGGTAGAGAGCGAGGGGAAAGGGGTGTGTTGGGTGGAAGGGGGTAGAGGATGGAGGATGGCGAGGCTTGTGAGGGGATAGCATAGGAAACGAGCAGGATTGTGGGAGGAGGGAGTGTTTCGGGAACGGAGGGATACAATGAGAAGGGAGGGGAAAAGGGACACGCACGTTAGAAAAAAGCACAAGTCAGTGATTCAGAAAACAGCAGGTGAATCGGTTTGCCCACTGCATGTGCACACACCTGGATGTAGGCGTATTCATGCCCACCTGGATGTAGGCGTATTCATGCACCTACCTCAATATGGGCCCACTGCATGTGCACGCACCTGGTGTTAGTGTTAGTCTTCAATCTCACAATTTGTACTTTGTATTTTCTATATCCTAGAGTAGTGTAGTTTGCACATTGTGTTTGGTTGGGTGTACACCTACATCCCAACCAAACCCAAATGTAATCTCCAACCAATCTCCAACCCACCAATTGGAGATTGCCTTGGGATTACCCCCAATCCCTAGAGATTGCCCCCGATTCCCTTCCCCATCCTTTTCCTACCCCTCTTGGATGTACTTAAAGAGCTTCAAGCTCATTACTAATGCATCGCTTCTAAGCCTATTTCTGACACCTGGATGTAGGCGTATTTGTTGAAGAACTCGACGATGGCCTCAATGCACGCCAGGATGCACTGCGCACAGCACGCTATGAAGTTGCCCCCGTCGTCGTTGTTCGCTAGCGCCGCCACCTGGGAGAACAAGTATGGGGGAGGGAAAGGTGGAAGCAGAAAGATCATGGGAGAGGGGAAAGGTGGAAGCAGAAAGGTCATACAAACTTCTTACAGATCTGAAAACATATATCTCGATAATCAACTGCTGCCAAGCCTTCCTAATCCTGCCTTTCAAACATCTCTCGCCCATCCTCAACCCCGTGCCACCCAACCACAAACACAAATCGGCCCCCTTCCCCCTCCTCTTCCCACACCCAGAAAACACCCTCTCCTTCCTCCGTCCCCCACCCCCCCGTTCCCCCCAGCACGGACAATGAAGCGGATGGTTTGGATGAGCGCAACGAGCAGAGAGCCGAAGCAGATGGAGCCGAAGCTCTTGGTGGCGGCGCGGTGCAGCGCGAGGCCGGTGGGGTTGGGCGGCATGTTGTGGCGCAGAAAGTAGTACGTGGCCGTGGTGCCCGCCACTGCCGTGTGCACCACGTTGCGCAATACCTGCGCGGGCCACACAGGGGGGGGAGGGGGGTGGAAGGTTGGGAGGAGGGAAGAGGAGGGATGTGCGGGAGGGTGAAGTGAGAAGGGGAAGAGAGGGGACGATGGTGAGAGGGGTTAGATGATTGGGGAGAGTGGGAGGAGATGGGAGAGGGGTAAAGGGGGTGAGGTTAGTGAGGTGGGGAGGGTTGTGAGAGGCAGAGAGGAGAGAAGAACAACGAAACGGTGGGCTTAGGAAGGGGAACGGGAAGAGATGAGGCAGGTTGCTGCAAATGTGAACACGAGGGTTCAAGCTTTGAGGAAAGCATGCCAAGTAGCGCGGGCAGCAGGACGAAGAACACAAAGTGAAGAGGTCAGAGTGAAGGGTACAACACACGGTGTGAAATTTGATAGTCGAGAATGTCAAAAGGAGGAGAGGGAGGGGCGGCGCACGTACCTCCATGGTCCAGTAGTTGCTGAGCACGAGGATGATGAGCACCGCAAACGCGTTGGTCTGCCGCCCAGCTCACACACACACACACACACACCGTGGCGCATGGGGTGGAGGAGAGAATGAGAGAGCACACACCACAGCGCACGGGGTGGGAGAGAGGATGGGGGAGCAGCGGGAAGGTCAGTAGATGCAACATGGTGCGACGGTGACAGATGTGGAGCGGAAGAAGAGCAGATGACGGGATGGGGGCATACAGAGAATCATGCCTCTCACCAGCGCCATGCCTCTCACCAGCGCCATGCCTCTCACCAGCGCCATGCCTCTCACCAGCGCCATGCCTCTCACCAGCGCCATGCCTCTCACCAGCGCCATGCCTCTCACCAGCGCCATGCCTCTCACCAGCGCCATGCCTCTCACCAGCGCCATGCCTCTCACCAGCGCCATGCCTCTCACCAGCGCCATGCCTCTCACCAGCGCCATGCCTCTCACCAGCGCCATGCCTCTCACCAGCGCCATGCCTCTCACCAGCGCCATGCCTCTCACCAGCGCCATGCCTCTCACCAGCGCCATGCCTCTCACCAGCGCCATGCCTCTCACCAGCGCCATGCCTCTCACCAGCGCCATGCCTCTCACCAGCGCCATGCCTCTCACCAGCGCCATGCCTCTCACCAGCGCCATGCCTCTCACCAGCGCCACGCCTCTCACCAGCGCCATGCCTCTCACCAGCGCCATGCCTCTCACCAGCGCCATGCCTCTCACCAGCGCCATGCCTCTCACCAGCGCCATGCCTCTCACCAGCGCCATGCCTCTCACCAGCGCCATGCCTCTCACCAGCGCCATGCCTCTCACCAGCGCCATGCCTCTCACCAGCGCCATGCCTCTCACCAGCGCCATGCCTCTCACCAGCGCCATGCCTCTCACCAGCGCCATGCCTCTCACCAGCGCCATGCCTCTCACCAGCGCCATGCCTCTCACCAGCGCCATGCCTCTCACCAGCGCCATGCCTCTCACCAGCGCCATGCCTCTCACCAGCGCCATGCCTCTCACCAGCGCCATGCCTCTCACCAGCGCCACGCCTCTCACCAGCGCCATGCCTCTCACCAGCGCCATGCCTCTCACCAGCGCCATGCCTCTCACCAGCGCCATGCCTCTCACCAGCGCCATGCCTCTCACCAGCGCCATGCCTCTCACCAGCGCCATGCCTCTCACCAGCGCCATGCCTCTCACCAGCGCCATGCCTCTCACCAGCGCCATGCCTCTCACCAGCGCCATGCCTCTCACCAGCGCCATGCCTCTCACCAGCGCCATGCCTCTCACCAGCGCCATGCCTCTCACCAGCGCCATGCCTCTCACCAGCGCCATGCCTCTCACCAGCGCCATGCCTCTCACCAGCGCCACGCCTCTCACCAGCGCCATGCCTCTCACCAGCGCCATGCCTCTCACCAGCGCCATGCCTCTCACCAGCGCCATGCCTCTCACCAGCGCCATGCCTCTCACCAGCGCCATGCCTCTCACCAGCGCCATGCCTCTCACCAGCGCCATGCCTCTCACCAGCGCCATGCCTCTCACCAGCGCCATGCCTCTCACCAGCGCCATGCCTCTCACCAGCGCCATGCCTCTCACCAGCGCCATGCCTCTCACCAGCGCCATGCCTCTCACCAGCGCCATGCCTCTCACCAGCGCCATGCCTCTCACCAGCGCCATGCCTCTCACCAGCGCCATGCCTCTCACCAGCGCCACGCCTCTCACCAGCGCCATGCCTCTCACCAGCGCCATGCCTCTCACCAGCGCCATGCCTCTCACCAGCGCCATGCCTCTCACCAGCGCCATGCCTCTCACCAGCGCCATGCCTCTCACCAGCGCCATGCCTCTCACCAGCGCCATGCCTCTCACCAGCGCCATGCCTCTCACCAGCGCCATGCCTCTCACCAGCGCCATGCCTCTCACCAATGACATGGCGCCTGAGACGCCGACGACCCAGATGACGGTCCAGACGAGGCTTAGGAAGAGGAAGAGGTACGCCACCCAGATGACCGACGGGAACGCGTTCACCACGTGCACCGCATGCTTCAGAATCGTCGCCGAGAACGGGATCCTGCACGCACCAAGGGGAGGAGGGGGGGAGGGACCACGGCGGTCACACGGGTGGGTTAGGTCTGCTTGGGCTGCACGAGCAAGCAGATAAGGCTGCTGAAGTGAGAGTGATAGGTAGTGATTAAGCGCTGGCATGTGTGGGTGTGAGGTAGCAAAGGAGGGAGTGAAAGGGCAAGAGGAGAAAGAGGAGAAAGGGCAGATTGCGTACAAAGTGGTACATTCCATGCACGCATGCGTGCATGCACCTGGGTGTTAGCGCATGGGTGCAAGGCTGTGTGGATTGTATTCGTACATGGGCGCGTGCGTGCGTGCATGCACGGGTGCACACCTGTGTCGCACGAGCCAGATGTAGAGCAGCTGCAGCAGCGAGGAGAGGAGCAGCACCACGCCCACCCACACAGGCGCCGTGCGGTACACAAACACCACTATCGCCACCGCCACCGGCGCCACAAACCCAAACCACAGCGATATGTGCACCATCACCCTGCAGCGCAGCGCACACAGCCCAGGGGGGACAGGGGGCGAGATACGGGCAACAGGGAGGAGAGGAGCGGGCACGCGGGAGGAGTGGGGTGGGGTAGGGGTTGGGGGGAGGGGGAGTGGATGGAGATTGTGAGGCTGTAAGTGTGAGGTGAATGGATTAGGGGCATGGGGAGCGCTGGCCCCCCGAATGTCTTGCACTCGCAAACTGCTGCAGATGTTTGAACATGACTGGTGAGCATGACTCTGGTAATGATTCAGTGTGGCATGCCATGGCATCACAATCAAGTCAGCTCTGCAAAGACACCGTGTAAGGCATGGCGCATGGCACGCAGGGCGCAGAGCAGGGCGCAGAGCAGGGCGCATGGCAGGGCGCATGGCAGGGCGCATGGCAGGGCGCATGGCAGGGCGGCTTACCGCGGCATGAGCTTGATGAGCTGCAGCCACACGAGCGCGAAGATCAGCCCGGTGGCGGCGGCAGCAGCGAACTGCGGCGCATAGTCGGAGAAGGCGTAGGGCACGCTGGGCTGCCCTGGTGCTGGCTGCGATGAGGAGGACGACACGCCCTTGATGCCCAGCACCACCGAGAACACCAGCACCGCCAGGAATTGCACTGCACCGCACGCCAAGCAGAGGGGGGAGAGAGAGGGGGTGGGGAGAGAGGCGATGGGGGGAGATGGGGCAAACGGGGGACGGAAAGGGCGCAGAGAGAGGGCGCGGAGAGAGGGCGCGGAGAGAGGGCGCGGAGAGAGGGCGCGGAGAGAGGGCGCGGAGAGTGGGGAAAGCGAGCGGTGAGAGATGGGGAAGGGAGGGGGGGGGTGGGATGTGGGAAAGCGGAATTATTGGCGGGCGAATGTAAGATTTGGAAGCAGCGGTTTGCAGTCACAGTGCGGTGCAGTGGGTGCGAAACGGTCACAGCTTTGAGTACTAAGTCCATGTCGTTCCAGGTGGCGCTACGGCGGGTGGCGCGATAGTGGGTGCTGGGATTAGAGATTACTAAGTGCACAGGGGCGGGTGGTTGGCGGCGGAAGGTGGTGATGCGGGCGCAATGGCGGCGGTACGTACGGATGAAGAGAATGGCGGCCCACACGTCGTTCCACTTGGACGACGCGTACAGGAACTTGTCGCCCGCCACGCTCGCCTGCTCGCATCGTCGCACATGGTCGCACGCATACGCACACACAGACGCATGCACGCACGCACGCACGCACGCACACACACACACACACACACACATACGCACACGCACAGACACGCACACACTCACGCACGTACACACGTACACGAACACACACACATGGACATATGCATATGAGAATCACGAATTTTCAAAACCACGACTTGGCCTCTCTCGCGCTACCCCTTCCTGCCTCTCCCCTTCCCCCTCCCCCCCTCCTCCCCTCTCCCAAATCTCCGTGCCCTTCCACTGCGCGCACCTTGGGGGGAGCACCGTCGGGGCCGGGCGGGGCGGGCGGATACCCCATGGAGTACGGCCCCGCGGGCACCATGGCGGAAGGGGGGGGCGCGCCGTACCCAGGCGGAGGAGCGCCGTAGCCGGGGGGAGGGGCGCCATAGCCGGGCGGAGGCGGAGCACCATACCCGGGCGGAGGCGCGCCGTAGCCGGGCGCAGCGTAGGGATGACCGCCGTATGGGGGAGGCGGGCCGTCGGGATTGCCGGAATCGTAGGGGTTGTGCTGCGGAGGGGGGCAGGCACAAGAAATGGCGCAGAGATAAAGGGCAGGGTAAACACTGATAAGAGACGCGGAGATGCGGGGATGCGGGGATGCGGGGATGCGGGGATGCGGAGATGCGGGGATGCGGAGATGCGGAGATGCGGGGATGCGGAGATGCGGGGATGCGGAGATGCGGGTACTCATGACAGTGCTCGCACTCCACCTTCCGCACGAGACACGAGAGGACCGAGTGTACGAGATCGAGAGCGCACGCTTGCGCGAGTGAGTGAATGCATGTGTGAATGATGGGAGTGACGCGGAAAGACATTTGTGGGAATTTGGCTTGGGAAAAATAAAATCCGCACGAGCATTGCTACGGAGAACTGGCACGCGTAGAAAAGATAGCGGAACCGCGTGTGAGATTCACTAAAATTAATAATAATAAAAAAACATACAAAATGAAGAATAAAGTCGGGAATGTTGTAGAACTTAGCGGGGCATGCTGACCTCGGCCATGGCGGCGCGGCGCGGGGGGTTCTCCGCACGGAGAAGAAAAGCGGTGAGCGCACGGGATGGATAACCCAGCCGACACGCCTGCAAATCCGAGAGGGCGGACTTCGTTTGGCAGCAGCAATCAACGTCGCACGGTGACGTTGCTGGTTTGAGACCTGACGTCACTGGCGGTATAGCGAGAAGGCGGCGTTGATGAACGATCCGTGCTAAACGGCACACGAGACAGGTGCCAGATAGAAACGGAGCGGTCGTGTGCAGATCCGAGTGAGGAGAGGAGTGAATTGAGGCCTACTGAGGTTGGACCTTGGGAAAAAGGCGGCAATGCGAATGCGTTGTTGTAGCGCCCTTGCAATGGAATGCCACACTGCTCCTCCTATGTTGATCCTGATTTGTCCACCCAAGTCGTGGGAGGGGATGAGAAAGATGCGAGAGAAGAGGCTCTGAGGTGCCGAGCGGGGAGAAGGGGGGTGGGGGGATGGGTGAGGGGTGGGGGGTGATGGAAAGGGGGGAGAGGAGCATGGCAAGACACCCCCAGAGAGGTTAAACGATGGCCGACGAGTTCTGTTCACGAGACGGGATGCACTCGCCCAATCACGTTGACTTCTGGGGTTGTCGTAAACATACCCGTGTGATTGTGCTAAATAAGGGTAACCCTATGGGAGAGTTTGGGACAGATTTCTGGTTCATTCTCCCACAGCTGATACGAACTCTGTGGCGGGTGCGGGTAACAATCGATGGTGGGAGAAATCCGTGGAGGCATGTGTATGATGGGCAACGTTTCCTGATTGGACGAGCTGATGGCTCGGGCAACCATGGAATAGAATATGCCCAAGGTGTGGTGCCGCGAACTGCGGGAGATCCGCAGGTGGTCGGAACGCGTAGGGCAACCTGCGCAGTGTGGCGGGGCAAGGTCGCATACAGGCCAGCTGTGTTTTGTAGCTGGGTACGCGATACAGAATTGATGTCCCATACGTTCTGTGTCAGTTCCAGATCCACTTTCGGCAGACCCCTATGATTCATCCAAACACTTACAAAAGCAATGGGTTTGAATAGACTGGATAATCAAATTCTTGAGAGAATGAATCAACCCCTATCCACAAGGCGTTACCTACACAAATCATCAAACGTCAGAGTCATGGACCAGTCAAGCAACAAGCTTAGTAGCATGACAACGAGCCACTGACACCTGTACAAAGCAGTGTATGGCAGAAAACAAAGAACAGGACAGGATAGGACACAGGAACAAGCAACACCTGTGGTGGCAGCACCAACAGCACACATTTTGGCACGAGTCACACGGACACCATTCTGGAAGCCACCAAACCCCCTAAAACTGGCACGAAGTTCCGAAGTGCAGGCGGTTGGAAACAGACTCGCCGCTCCTCCTGAGAATAAGATCATCGAGCAGAGCCACCAGCACCTCCATATACAGACTCCATGACCGAACACCCAACTCCCCCAACTCCATCAGCTGCGCACTCAGCTCATCCCCTGTCGCACTCCCGCGCGGATCCCGTGCCACTCCCCCCTGCGCCTGTCCCCGCTGCTGCCGGCCATGCTGCTTACCGCCCTTGGTATGCCCGCTGCTGCGCCTTTGCTTCGAGCTGTGCCTCTGTTGCAGAGCCCTCTGCTGCCTCCCAGGGGTAACCTCACCACCTGCTGTACCTTCACCATTCACATCCTCGCCTCCCTCTCCCCTGGCGCTAACATTGCTGCTGCCCAGGTTGGAACGCCCAACTGCCCTCCTTACGTTCGACCCGCTGCCGCCACTGTTGCCAGCAGCACCATCCAGGCCTCTTGCCCCGACCCCAGGTCCACCCAGGCCCCCACTGAAACCAGTGTGGAGAGGAGCAGCAGCAGGCGCACCTGGTGCTGCACCGTGTGAGGGCTGAGCGGGGTTGCGGGGAGGCAGTGCGGTCATGGGCTTGCGGAAGAGAGGGCGAGCGAGGTGGCGGGGAGGAGGGGCGTAGGAGGAGCCAAGGCGGGTGGATTTGGCAATGAAGTGATGGGCCACGGCAGGCACAGGGACAGGCTGGGCTGATGCAGGCACGGGGGAGCACGACAGCTCCGGCAGGAAAGCAGACGGCTCACTACCCCCGCTAGCATGCACCACTGCGGCAGATGCATGCGAGCAGTCGCGAGCAGCGAGCATAGGAGCGACAGGAGAAGGATCCAGGTCAGGTGCAGCAGCGACTGCAGGAGCAAGGCCAGGAAGGGGTGGCGAGGCAAGGGAGGAGGGAGGGGACGAGCTCATAGAGCCCAGTCCCACTGGGGGAAAGTCATCCGCCTCACTGCCGTGCTCTCGCCTGCCCATGCCCAGACCGGCGCCGTTGCTGCTGCTCGTGGTGCTGTCTCCGCAGTCGTTGCTCTCAGTGCTGCCGCTGCTGGGAGAGCGAGATGTGGACGTAGATAAGGGGAACCGGCCAGGCTGCTGCTGCTGCTGCTGCTGCTGTCAGGTCTGGCTGCCCGTGGTGCTCATACCCTGCACTCACTATCTCAGCCTCCTCGTCAAACTCAAACTGCTCCTCTCCCGCTGTCACTGAGTCACTCTGCTCGAAACCACTCACACTGTCACCTATACCAGCAAAACCCCCTGCTTCCGTGCTTACGTGCACATCAGAAAACCCTTCCTCACAACCCTCCCTTGCACCCTCTGCTTCCTTCTCCTCTTCCTCCTCCTTTTCCTCCTCCTCCTCGTCCTCATCCTCGTCCTCTGAGTCTGTATCACCCCACCGCGCGCCCTTCTTCCACAACAGCGATTCTGGGATCACATAGCTGCCTACCTCCTCCGCTCTCCCCTCCTCTCCCTCGTTACCTGCGCCGCTGTCCCGCTCTGCCTCCCTGCCTGTCTCACTGCCCGCGTCCCTGCATCCCAACCCTCCCACCTCCTCCTCCTCTTCCTCATCCGACCATTCCCCTTCCTCCCCTTCCTCTCCTTCCAACACTGCACCTATCTCTCCATCCTCCTCCCCAAACTCATCAACCCCGAAAATACCCTCTTCCTCACTCTCTGATAACTCCTCCTCCCCCTCCCCCTCCTCTTCCTGAATACCCCCTTCCCCGTCCCCCATCGCCCCACTCTCCCTGCACCACCCTTCCCCTTCCGCCTCCCCCTCCCCCTCCGCTTCCCCCAGTTCCCTGCGCACGCGCTTCATCTCCCCCAAGGCCTCCGCGCACACTTGCTCCAGGTCGCTCGGCTGCTCCTCCAGTCCGCGCACCTCGCGGCTCATCATGGCGCCTATCCCCGCGAGCGTCATGCCCGCGGCGGCGGCGCGCTGCAGCAGCGTGGTGGCGATCACGAGCACGCGCAGGCACCCCTCGCGCAGCAGCGGCAGGTGCGCGCGCAGCAGCGCCACGTCCCTCTCCGCGTCCAGCGCTGCTATGTACTCCAGCTCCTCGGGGGAGAAGGGCAGCGACGCCTGCGCGCGGGGGGGGGAATGGGGGAAGGGGGAAGGTGGCGCGGGGAAAGAAGGGGGCGTGGGGGGGAGGGGAGGCCGGGAGGGAGGAGGGGACAGGGGGGGATGGATGGGAAGGGGGATGAAGAGGGGGCAAGGGGGACGGGGAAAAGTATTGGGGACGGGAAGGGAGAGGGGAGAGTGGTTATAGAAGCGGAAAGAAATGGTTACTACTGAAGCACGGTGTGCCAGAGCAAAGAGGGGGATGCAGACGGAAGATGCACGGTGTGGGGAGGGGGTAGTGACGAGAGAAATGAGATGGAAGCACAAGAGATGCAATGCGCATCACCCCCCCAAACATATCACCTCCCAATCCCCAAACAGCAAACCCCCGACCCTGCCCTCCCAAACCCATCCCATGCACCCATTCCCCCCCTCCCCCTCCCTTCACCCGTTCCCCCGATCCTTCCCATCCCCCCGCCCTCCCCTTGCGCGCGCGCGTACCTGCGGCCAGTGCAGCCATTCGAAGTAGGCGGGTTCGAGGGACTCGGGCAGGCAGAAGCCGTGGTCGATGGGCACCAGGTGCACCGCCTCGTCCACGCGCAGCTGCGGGTCGCTCTGCCGCCACTCGCGCTCCTCCACGCTCAACTGCCGCACCAGGATGTTGCCTGGGGCGGGGGAACGGAAGGAACGGGGGGGATGGGGGACGGGGGACGGGGACGGGAAACGGGGACAGGGGACGGGGACAGAGGACGGGGACAGGGGAAGTGGAAGGGGGTGGGGAAGGGGAGGATGTGGGGGGTGGGACGTGTGAGAGGGGATGGGGAAAAAAGTTGTGGGGGGAGTTTGGTTGGGAAAGGAAGGAAGGAAGGCAGGGAAGTCGTTGTGAGAAGGTATATGCAGCACGGGGAGGAGGGACGAGGGGGTTATGCAAAAGCAAAGGGAGCAAAAACTGGCACATTCGTTGCATGGGGAGGGAGAGGCACGAGGAGAGCACGCACCAGAGTGTCGATCGGTGTTGAACATGCGGATATCGAGGATGCCTATACGGTGAACAGCAGCCACAGGGAACCGGGACGTCCCATGCTCGCTGGCATCGAAATCGTGTGGCTCAAACCGCTGCAACGAGCATAACCGACGGCACCCATTCCCGCCACTTCCGCCATCTCCCCATTCCCCTCCCCCTCCTGCGCCCCGCGCACCCGCCACAGCGGCAGCTGCAGCAGACGCCGTCGCGCCACTTGCGCCAACGCCGAACGAGAACGCGCTGGACAGCCCGCCCGCATTCCCAGACGCGCACGGCGTCATCGTGGGCCCCGCGGGCGCCGCGTTCACGTGGAACGCGGGATGCGTGGCGAGCACGAGCGCGGTCGCGGGCACCCCCGCGAACCCCCCGTGGTCCAGCAGAAACGCCGCCACCTCGCGCAGCCCCGCCTCCCCCACGCGGATGCTGCGCTTCAGCCCCGGCTGCCCCAGCGCGCGCCCCACATAGCCGTTGGGATTATTGGGCGCGAGGGGCTCCTCGTCCGTGGGTTTCACGATCGCCACGTTGCGCTGCGCCGCGTCGCGAAAGATGTACGCGCCGCCCAGCCCCCCGGACGCGCGCACGGGCTGCGCGCCCGCGCGCAACCCGTCCTGCACTGCGCCCACGAGGTGCAGCACGGGGGGAGGCACCGCGGCGGTAGTCGCAACGCAGGCGGCAGATGCGGACGACGCGACTCCGTCAGTATGTGGAGCGGGAGACACGAGGCTGCGTGGCCACGCAAGGCCGAGAGACACGTTCTCCGCAAGCCAGACGTCTTCTAACGCGGATAGAGTGGAGACGAACTGCTGCTCTGCAGCGGAGTCTAGAGGCACTGCCTGAGCCACAGTGCATGGCTCCTCAGACACGACGTTAGTTGCTGCTTCAGACGCGCATTCTGCTTCAACCGCTGCTTGCGCAGGTAGGGCGATTTCTGTCTCTAACTCATCTACCACCGGCTCTTTCGTTACTTCTGCTACAGATACTGATACAAAGATTTCGTCTCCCTTCTCCTTCAGCAGCAAGTCAGTTGCCTCTCCCGCTACAGCCGAGTCTGTAGCGTCGCTCGCTGCCACCTCCGCCACCCTGCTCAGCTTGCTGCGGCCCCATACAAGGCCGTCGGTCTCGCCCTGCCACTGCTGCTCCGCACCCCGCACCTCCTTGCTCAGATGCACGCTCGCACGCGGAAGGAACGGCGAGGAACTCGGCAGGACGGGGTGCGACGGAACCGCCTGTGTCACCGCAACAGAATCGACACGCGCTGCGTTATTTCCCGGCACGGCCGCGGCTGCCGCAGGTGGGTTGGGGAACCCAGAGCTGAACCTGGAAGGCAGGCTGGAGGCCAGAACCCCAACGCTCGCCGCGGAAGGGAACCCACCCAAGGCAGACGCGGAAGGAACGTGAGACGCAGCGGCGGGGGATGCGGCAGCTGCGGCAGAGGCAAGAGACGGCGCTGACGCGGCCCTTCCGGCGGCGACCACGGCGGCTGCGGCGGACTTGAGCGAGTGCGAGGAGGTGTAGATGGAGGGGAGCGGCGGGAGAGTGGTCGGGGAGGAGGTGTGCAGGAAGGGGAAGCAGGGGCTGCTGCCCGTGCGGGAGAAGTAGCTCCCCATGCTGCCCGCCACTACGCCGCCCGCAGCCGCCGCCGCTGCGTCCGCCTTGCTGCTGCGAGAGACAGTGCCGCCGCGCGTGTTAAGGCGGCAGAAGTTCCACCCGAGCCCGAACGAGATCTTAGGCGCGGACGTCGGGAAACAGACCCTTAACTCCTTCCCTCGCACCTCATCTTCTTCCGCCTCCTCGTACCCGTCATCCTCCGTCCCCGCCGCCTGCACTCCGTCGTCCTCCGCGTCTGCCTCTGCTCCCCCTTCCGCTTTCTCCAAATCCTCCTCCTCCTCATTTAGCTGTGCGAACACGTGCGACCCCGCTCCCATCGAGTCGAATTCCGGACGACCACCTAACGACTCCGATACCAGTGCGGCTAGACCGGCGGCGACAGCCCCGCCTCCCTCGCGACTGGAGGATCTATCCAACCGAAAGCTACCGCTGGATCTACCGGAAAACCCCACCACTCGCGCCATCCCCGCCTCCTCCTCCTCCGCTGCCGCTGCGCCGGAACCAGCAGCTGCTGACGCTGCCGCGGCCGCCGCAGCAGCCGTGGCGGCGGCTGCAGCCGCAGCGGCAGCGGACGGGAGGAACCACGTGTCTCGAGCCGAGGCTGCCACGGCGGCAGTGACAGCAGCGGGAGTGACAACAAAAGAGCTGGACGGCGCCGCGGCAGCAGATGTAACTGGCCAATCACCACGGCCCGCCGCGGCGGAGCTGGCACCAGCAGCAACACGAGAGTCAGGCACAGCGAATCCTCGGGTGGTGGTGAACGATCGCCTCGCTTGTGCCGCTGGCGTGGGCGGCGGCGGCGGGGGCGGGTGGTTCATATCCAATGCTGCTCCTGTTTCCGCCATTGCTGCCGCCGGTGCTGCTGCCGGCACGACGAAACCGCTGATAGTCGTTGCCGTGATCCCTCCCGTGTCCCTCCCCGTTCCCATCGCCGCGTCCCTCCTCCCCGCAGCTCCCGCTGCCGCTGATGCTTTCCCCATTGCGTCTGACAAAGAGGAGCGGCGGGAGGGCAGCGAGGGGGCAGGGAAGGAAGCCGCGGGAGGCGCAGTGGTCGCGGGCGTGGGCGGCGGGGGAGGCGGCGGCAGATCTTCGTCCGATGACAGTGGCGGAATCTTGGGCGATGCGCGCTGACGCACGTCCATGGCGGGAACAATCACTCCCCCGCCGAAGCCCCCGAAGGCCACTGACCGCGGCATCCCGCCTCGACCGCTCTCGCTTGGGTCCCCCGTACCTGCCGTTGCTCTTGCCGTCTCTTCCCTCTCTCCTGTCGCCACCGTCAGTGCGGTGTCGCTCACGAGCCCGTGCGTGCGCTGCCTGTTTAACGCGGCACGATGCTCGAGGCGGACACGCTATTAAACCCGAAGATGCTGGGGGAAGTGGACAGTACAAGAGGTCACCGGCTCAGCCGCACGCGATAGGCTGCCAAGTAGTTCGGCTACGATCGACAAGAGGCGTTGATGGAGATTCGTTTTGTAAGAGCAGATGCGGAACGCCGGTCTAGACGAGCCAGTGACAAGGATTTGGTCAGAGAATCCGCCCGTTGAGAACACGAAACGTTTCTGAAAATTTTGCTTTGCGTCCCCGCTCGTGTTGTTGTTGATGCCCGCGATGCTACAGATAACAGGATACCTGCCACTCCTGATAAGCCGTGAAAAGCGTCTGCTTCTGGCCTTCCGCGACTGATTTTCTCGTGTCTGTTGCTGAACCTTGCAATGAGCACCCGGCGATGACGATCGCAGGCCGATAGCCTGAGGCATGGAACGGGGTAGTGAAGAGAGAAAAACGTGTGAATTAAACCCCAGAAGAGAAGAAGAAGAAAAAAAAATCAACCATGACTTGAAGAAATCATACCGTGCGAACGACTTATTATTTTCATCACATATATGTCCATAAACGAGTTATGATCGTGACAGGGACATGGAAACCCTAATACGAGGTGCAGAAGCTGCCAATACTTCCGAGATCCAATGACCCGTGCCCACAAGCCGAGACAGTGCTCGTACCAGCATTCGTCGCGTTCACGCCACCGGATGCCTCGGCGATTGTTCCTCACAGCGTGCCGACTGCCTCCATTGCAGCCATGCCAGCCATCGTCGCGGCCAGCGCGCACATTCCGTCTACGGCAACAGGCCGTAAGACAGCGATTCTCTGCTGAATGCATCCCCTCGCCTAACGCCTACAGCCCGCGAAGCCTTGCTTTATGAACGCCATGATTGCGATGAAGTTGTAGAGTAACAAGAGGGCCGTAAGATAAGCAGTGTTGATTGAAGGAGGGATGCACGGAAAGGTAAGAGTGGGGGAGGGTAGACTATGGACAGATCTGGTGGAAGGACTGAAGTGGGCTAGAGGGGAAGTTACTTGGCAAGGGTTTGCGGGATGCATGGCAACAGTTGGCAAACCTTCGAGTCTTGCTCTGAGTTCGTCGTAACCTGATAACGAATACTGCGCTTTCGCTAGTGCTGCGCGACGGATATGTACCCTCATGCTGTTCGTCCACCTCGCAATTTCTCTTCGCAAATGGATGGTGGGAATGCAGATTCTGTGGTGCGTTGTGTGTGTGCGGGATGGAGACGGTGAGCCCCATGCTGTCACAGCGACGGCGGCAAATACGCTGGAATGACGCGGATCAGAGGGAGAGGGAGAGTGAATGGTGAGTGTCAGGTACCCGCAGCCATGCAAATCTAGGCCCATCGGCGCGCCCTCACATACAGCTGGCTGCGTGATAAATCACACGTCATTCTTCCACTGGCATGCGTCCGTGGGTGCTAGTGGTGACCCCATACATCCGATATGAGCTTCGGACTACAAAATCACCATAGATTTCTCTCTGCTATTTTGGCTTACACATGCTAATTTTGACCTAATTCCTCTTTGGCTTACGTTATTTTTCTAACATGTGAATTCATTAACGCAATATATCATGTAGAATGCTAATGAAATTAACAAAACATTAGGCTTGAATTGGAACGTGGGGAGTAGGAGAACCAACTGTGAATTTTTTTCCTATGCAGAACTAACATGCTTTCCTCTTGAGAATAGAATGGCCCTGTTTGTGAGAAGTTTAACCTTTTTGCTAGCTCTGTTGTATCATGCTTGTTCCCAAACTGGAGCGTCGTTTAGTCGCTCCAGAATTTTAAAACGTGGCGCGTCCTGCTACCAGCACCCTTGGGAATGCCCTAGCTGGCGCTTGGTGCTGCTGCCACGCCATCCTGCACATTTTCAACTCCACCATCACTTCAATCCACAGAACACACTCGCAAAGCAGCAGCAAGCACCAGAAAGCAAGCATTGTTCCACTAGACGGCGGTCCGACGATCTCCAGCACCTCTTAGACCGGCCAGGCTGTCTTTCCGTCAACAATGAGCCCGCCGTTGGCCATGTCAGTCACGCCGCATTCTCAGACCTACACATCCGTGCTCGCCGCTCTCGACCTGCCATTTCAACACCGTATCGGCAACACCAGGCTGCATCCACGCTGCGAGCAGCGCGCTTTGCTAGTTAATCTGACTCAGCACGGCCAAGCCGTGTCGCGCCGGCACCGCGCCGCGGGTTATCATCTGAGTAGTTCAGCTGTACTCGACAACAAGCAGCCGCAGTTACAAAGCTCGCTACGCTCGTCGAAGCTATCGAGAGTTTCCCACCGCACGCCGAGCCGCTCGGTGCATTGCGCGGCGGATTCGTTACAGGGCGACGCGTTAGGCGGAGATACAGGTGCAGTGAGGGAGGAAGGCGCGGATGTGGTAGCAGGCGCGACAGTGATTTCCGCGGCACAGGCAGGCAGCGAGGAGGCGGGGGGAGAGGCGGTTGAGCGGCAAGGCGCGGAGAAGCAGGAGGGGCCTCGGCTGGCGTGTCCTGTGTGTCTGCGGCCTCTGGATGTGTCGTTCAGGAGCAAGCAGCGCTCCTTCTCCATGTGCGTGCTACGTGCTGCTCCTTACTCGCTGCTCTCTACTCCCTGCTCTCTGCTTTCTGATATCTGCTCTCTGCCTCCCTGCCACACAGACGGCATTCCTTCGTCACCTTTTGACGCTGCAAACCCTTTTTCCCTGCTCCCGCCCCCGTCACCCCTCATCCTCACCTCTCCCGCGGTCTATCCCTCACCGACGCTTTTCTGCACCACCAACCCTACTACCTTTCGCCTCTGCTTACCCCACACTCTCTGCCGCACCTTCCACCGTTCCTCCTCACCCCCCTCCCCCGTCCCCCTTTCAATCCCCCTTCCAATCCCCCTTTCAATCCCCCTTCCAATCCCCCTTCCAATCCCCCTTCCAATCCCCCTTCCAATCCCCCTTCCAATCCCCCTTCCAATCCCCCTTCCAATCCCCCTTCCAATCCCCCTTCCAATCCCCCTTCCAATCCCCCTTCCAATCCCCCTTCCAATCCCCCTTCCAATCCCCCTTCCAATCCCCCTTCCAATCCCCCTTCCAATCCCCCTTCCAATCCCCCTTCCAATCCCCCTTCCAATCCCCCTTCCAATCCCCCTTCCAATCCCCCTTCCAATCCCCCTTCCAATCCCCCTTCCAATCCCCCTTCCAATCCCCCTTCCAATCCCCCCACTCCCCTCTCCCCCCGCCCGCAGGCAGTCAGCGCCATCGGCGCGCCTGCAGTGCGCGCCATGCCGGCGCACGTACACAGCGCGCGCGGGATTCGCGGACCTGGTGCTCACGGCGGGGGTCACGCAGTACATTGAGCCGCCCCTGCCCTCGCGCTCCGAGACCTTCAAGTGAGTGTGGGTGGGAGGTTGCAGGGAGAGGAAACGAAGGGTGAAAGGGTTGGGTGAAAGAGTGCGGTGAAGCAGTGGGGTGAAACAGTGGGGTGATAGATTGTGGGGGCGGTTATTCGCGGCTCCATGCCCACTGCCTCACACTCTCCTTGTCCATCTCTCCATCCCTTGCCCACCATCCTCCGTTATCACATCACCATCCTCCCCTTCCTGCCAGGAACCCCCTGGTGTCCTTTGCGTATGAGCACGGGTGGAGGCAGAGCTTCATCCATGCCTAACGTGCCCACTGCCTGCACTTCTCCTTGCTACTCTCTCCGACCCTTGCTCGCTTACTCTCCATCACCATCACCACTACTTCCCCCCTTTTCTCCCAGGAACCCCCTGGTGTCCTTTGCGTATGAGCGTGGGTGGAGGCAGAGCTTCGCTGGCTTTGGCTTCCCGGGACCTGATGAGGAGGTCAGTGGGGGAGCGAGGGGAGTGTGCTGTTTGGGGGTGGGGGTGAGGGAGGGGTGCAGGAGGGCAGGAGGGCAGGAGAGCAGCAGGGCAGGAGAGCAGAGGGGAGAGGGAGGAGGGGAAGTTACGGTGTGGAGTATTTCAGGAATGCAGGTGTAGGGATAGAGAGGGCGTGGATGGGGGATTGTGCGGAGTCAGAACCATTGATTGAATGGGAACGTGTATTTACCTGCATCATGCTGTCCTACCGTGCCCCCTTCTATATGCTGCTAACTGCCTTCTCCAATTCCTCGCCTCTCGCCTATTGCAACTCCCTAATACCCCCGGCAGTTCCTGATGGCGCAGCGGCTGTTCCACGAGCAGAAGGGCGGGCTTCTGGTGGACCTCTCGTGTGGCTCGGGGCTCTTCACGCGCCGCTTCGCTGCCAGCCAGGACTGGCGCCACGTGGCAGCTGCTGACCTGTCGCCCGCCATGCTAGAGCAAACGGCGCAGTACATTCAGGACGACCCGCTGCTGCGGGAGCAGCAGAGGTGAGGGTGCGGGGCGAGGGGGAGGGTGGATGGGGCGAGGTGGTATGGAGGGGTTTGTGAGAGGTGGTGGAGTGAGATGCGATGGATGCATGGCATGGCATGGCATGTTGGTGCTGTGCTGAGAACACTCGTGCAAGCATCACTGCATTAGAATAGAAGCAGTCACAACAGCCCTTTATGCTCCATCAACCGCCCTCACTCACACACATTACTCTCACGCCACACCCACTCCCTCTCTCCTCATCCGCCCCTCCATCTCCCTGCCTCTCTTTCTCTCCCCCTCCCCGTCTCCCTACACTCCCCCCATCACCAGCGCCATATCGCTACTGAGAGTGGATGTATCGCGCCTGCCCTTCCCATCGGCATCAGTGGACGCCATTCATGCCGGCGCCGCCCTGCACTGCTGGCCCTCGCCCTCCCTCGCAGTGAGCCCCCAACCTCCTTGTCGGTGTCCCTGCTCTTCCCTTAACCGTGCCTCGCGCTTCCTCTTTTGCATCACAATCCGCCTTTGACATCTTCTCCACTGACGTTGACCTCACCGTGATGTGATGCTGGGCGCTTCTTGCCGTGATGGGTTGCCCCTGTGATCCCGGCAGATGGCGGAGATCAGTCGTGTGTTGAGGCCGGGGGGCAGGTTCGTGGCCACCACGTTTCTGCTGCCCAAGGCGCCCATCGCCGACGAGCTCTTCAAGCCCCTGCGCAAGGTACCCGCTGCTGCTGCTGGACTGCTGTTGCTGGTGGTGGGGTGGTGTGGTGATGTATGCATGCATGCCTGCACTCTCAAGCATGCACAACATGTTCTCACATGCAGACGGAATCCCAAGTCGCCGCCCATTTGTGACGCTACAACATGTTTCCCCATCCCTACCACCAATCACCAAACAAACTGCGTCACTCCGTTTCCCCACCCTGCCAGCAACTGTCGGTGAGTCAGCAGTTGCCGTTCCGGTACTGGGAGCCAGAGGAGCTGGAGGAGCTCATGGGGCTGGCGGGGTTGGAGAACTACATGAGCGACATCCGCTCACAGTACATCATGCTCTCCGCTCAGAAGCCCACGCGGTGATGGTGAGGAGGAGGGCGAGGGGAGGGAGGAGAGGAGGACAAGAGGGTCTGGAGGGGCAAAGAGGCGGAGTGGAGGCGGAAGGGGTATTCAGGAGGATGATTAGACATGGGTGGTGGGGTGTTTCAGGCACTGAGGGATATTGTGTTGGAGTGGGGATTGTGGGGCACCTATAGTGGATACCGAGGTGCTGAATGGTTCACATGCTGCCATAGTAGTTAGGAACAAACAAGTCTTCCTATTAAAAGTATTATGCCTACGTTTGTGAAACCAATTTACCCACCCAGTTGTCGAGCCCAGGGGCTTCAATAAGACTATGGGTAGTTTGCCAACGCTTGTTTTGACGCACGAGTTGTTTGTATTTAGTGGACAGTTTTGAAATTGTCAATCTCTACCGAGTCTTTGCTGCAACAAGCTGAGGGACCGGTGGGCTTCTACCAAGGGGTCAACTCTAGAGACTTGCACAACTGTCCACTGTAGCCCGTTCTGTGGTGCACAGAGCGAGGGGTCAGTGGCTGGCTGAATGTGAACCATCTGGGGGTAGACAGACAGCACAGGGAGAGAGGAGGACAGGGGAGCTTATTAGTCATTCAGAGACACACGTGATGAAGCACAGATGCAGAGAGACACAATTGGGAGGTCACTTGTCATCCTGGGCCATGGCGGATAGCATGATTGATACGTTACTAACAAGGTTGGGGCCTGGATGCCTCCCACACGCTGCAGAGGCACCCTTGATTTCATGCCCTTCAAATGCCCACCCTCTTATCACCCACCCTACTGTCTCCCACCCACCCATCCCCCGCCCGACCACCGCCCGCCCTGCCATGCCATGCCACGGTACCTGGGGTGGTTGCCGGACAGCCATGGCCATCAGCAGCGCCAGCAGAGGCCGCTCCCCTATCTGCACCTCATCCTCCTTCCCCTCCTCTGCCCTACCCGCCTCCTCCCTCCCATCCACCACTCGCCCCTCCACTGTTGCAGCAGCACCCAGCAAAGCGTCTGGCAGTATGCATGGGTGTGGCCCCCCCGCCCTGTTGGTCCGCACATTTGCCCCATGTTGTACAGTCGTCTGTGCAGCTGATCGCACTGCCCCACTCACATCCATCTCTCCACATGCCACCTGCACATTCAGCGAAGCACCTGCCCCAGCAAATTCCCTCTCTGCTGCCTCCATCTCCTTCTCCTCCTCCGTTTTCTCCTCCCACTTCTCCTGCCTTTCATCCTGACCCCACCCAATCTCCACATCAGAAGCGCCCCTCTTCCTCGCACCACTCCCCTCCTTCCAACCCCCCGTCCTCCTCCCCTCCTCGCCCCATCTCAAGCTACCCACCCCGACCTCAAGCATCCCCCGCTCACATACCAGTCTCCGCACCCGCCGTTGCACCTCCTTCCACTCCACCTTACACATCTCCCCAGCCTTGGCACCCTGCTGACCTTCCAGTCGACTCAAAAGCTGCACGTCTCCCCACCCCACCATCGCCCTCCCATCCGCCTCCCTCCTCTCTGCCTCCCTCACGCCCCTTCCCCTTGCATTTCGTGCCCATCCCGCTGCCGGCTGCCATGCCGAATTCGCAGATGCGCCAAGCCGCGCCGTCCGGCATGGGTGGCAGGTACACGGGAGGGGCGGCAGGCGGGTGGCGAAGAGGAGAAGCGCTGCCTCGGAGCCACTGGCAGCTGCTCGGAAGGTGCGGGTGCCGTTGTCTGCAGGGGAGGGAGGGGGGAAGGGGAGGGGGGAAGGGGAGGGGGAGGGGAACAAAGGATGGGAAAGGGAGGGGAAGGGGGAGTGGAAAGGGGTAGGAGAAGGCGGGAGGGGAAAAGACGATGGGACAAATTGAAAGAAGATGGGACAAAGTGAAAGGACGACGGGGGAGAGGTAAAAGATAACAAAGGAGCGGTGTCAATTGGCAAGAGTGCAGCGGTGAAATGCACAAGGATGAGGGCAGGAAGGGAGCGGAGGGAGAGGGGTATGGTGAGGAGGAATGAACGAGAGGAGCATGGGGCGGAGTAGGAGGGGTATGGGGCGGAGCGAGAGGGGTGCGGGGCAGCGGCAGGAGGGCTAGTTACCGAGGGAGCAGAGCAGCCGATCCACGAGCACGCCGTGCCTCTCAGTGTCGCATCCACACGCCCCACACACCCTGTGCTGCCTCCACCCGCTGCCCTCCCTGCCGCTGCCGTGCCTCTCCGCGTTCCTCTCCTCTTTCCTCTCCTCCTTCCTCTCCTCTTTCCGCTCCTCTTTCCTCTCCTCGTCCTTCCCCTCTTTCCTCTCATCTTTCCTCTCCTCGCTCCTCCCCTCATTCCTCCCCTCGTTCCTCTCCTCGTCCCTCTCCTCCTCACTCTCCTCCTCACTCTCCTCCTCACTGTCCTTCTCCCCCTCCTCCTCCCACTCATCCTTCCACTCCTCCTTCCCCTCCTCCTCACTCTCCTCCTCCCCCTCCTCGTCCCTCTCCTCCTCCCCCTCCTCTCGCATGCACTCGTCCTCATCATCCCATCCACTACCCTCCCTGCATGCCTCAGTGCCCCCATCATCACCTTCCCCCCACTCGTCAAAACTCGCCACGTCTCCACTCACCTTGTTTACACCTGTCTCATCTCCACTCACTCCCCCTTCCCTCCTCGTCGCACCTCTCAATATACTGTGATCTGCCCTCCCTTCCCCCTCTCTCTCACTCTCTTCCAAATCCTCATCACTCCAACCACTCCCTTCCATGCACACACCATTCTCTCGCGCACACTCTCCCTTTTCATCATCACATCTCATCTCACCCTCTCCACGCCCTACCTTCCAGCACCCCTCCACCACACCCCTCTCCACCGCACGCTCTTCCTCCTTAAACACCTCAAGCACCTCCTGCCACCACTCCTTCCCCCCACCCACATGCTTCTCCGCACACTCCTCTCCAGTTTCCTCCTCCTTCTCCCCCTCTGCATTCCCTTTTGCCTCTCTCTCACCTCCTCCCACTTCTTTCTCGCCCTCATTCCCTCCATTTTCCTCTTCCTCCATCGAACACGCTTCCGCCTCCCCTGCATTCCCTTTTGCATCTCCTCCCACTTCTTTCTCGCCCTTGTTCCCTCCATTCTCCCCTTCCTCCATTGGACACGCTTCTGCCTCCTCCCTCCCACCACCAACCGCTTTTTTCTCCTCCTCCTTTTCGTGCAACACACCAGCACGCTCCCTAGCATCGCCATCCCTTGACGCATGCCCATCCATCCCACCCGCCGCCGCCCTCCACCCTCTCGCACAAGCATTTTCTTCCATCTCTCCCTGCTCTCGCCTTGCCTGCTGCTCTTTTGATTGTTGCCGCTCTGCCTGTGGCCCTGCCTGCGGCCCTGCCTGCTGTCGCCATCCCTGCTGCCGCCCAAGCCCGTGAGCAGGGTAAAGCAAGGCATCCCCTCCCTCACACACATGTGCTGGCAGCGGCGGGGCAGGGGGGCACACAGGCAGCAGACGCACGTAGTGCACTGCTGCTAGCTGGAAGGGGGAATGTGGGATGAACAAGAGGGAGGAGGTGAGGAGGGAGGGGGAAAGAAATGGAGAGCTGGAAATAACTTAGGAGGCTGGAGGACACAGGGAGCAGACACACAGAGTGCACTGCTACTAGCTCAGGGGGGTTGTGGAATGAACAAGAGGGGAGGGGGAAAGAAATGAGGAGCTGGAAAAAGCTCAGGAGGCCGGGGGACACACAGGGAGCAGGCACATGGAGTGCACTGCTGCTAGCTGGGGAGAGGGGAGGAGGACAAGGGGGGAAATAGGACGCATGGCATGGCTGCTTATGAACGCACTGCCTCTGCCCTGGCAAGGCTAAGGAAGAATACCTTCAGACATGTTTGTAACCCATGATGCACCACACTCCACACTGGGCTATCATCACAGACACCACAGACTCAAACGCCACACTCTCAAACGCCACATGCTCCATACACCAGCAGCATCACCCACTCTCAACTCAGCCATCTCCCTTACTGCCACCCCTCTCTCACCCAGCATCGAGTGCGCACTCCCTCTGTACCTGCTCCTCCTGTCACCCTTCCTCCCTCTGCACCCGCTCCTCCTGCCACTCCTCCTCGCCCCTCTCTCGTCCACATCCCTTCCCTGCCGCTTCCTGCCCCACCCATTCCTCCCCATCCCAGCGCCACCACCACCTCTCCATGTGGCTTCCGACTAGACTCAAAAGCTGCCCCGCCCATTCCCCCACGTGCCTGCGCCACTGTACCCCCTCCGCCCCCCTCCCTCTGTATCATCCCCCCACTGCTTCCTCCTCGTGCCCATTCAGCTGCACTGCCTGCCGTGCTCGCGCCTCTGCCTCCCATGCCACTGCACCATCTCTCCTGCACCCCCTCCGCTCTGTCCCAACCATAACTCCTTCCGGCACCACCCCCTCTCACTCGACCCTCTGTCGCTGCTGCAGCACGCACGGGAGCAGGCACGGGTGCACTTGTGGCTGGATGCTGCGTGTGGAGCCTGACCGGAACTTGCCTGAAACCAGTAGGAGGAGGAGGAGGAGGAGGAGGAGGAGGATGAGGAGGAGGGGGAGCAGTAGTCGCAGAGGCAATAGCATCAGCATGTGGGGCCGGGGGTGGAGGGGCAGGGGAGAGCAGGAGCATGTGGGAGCAAGCGACCATGCGCACTCGCACCACCTCTTGCCCTGAATACCCGCCCTCACCGCCCCTGCTACCATGTGCTGCATCATTCAATGCACTCCCTTGTTGCAGCCCAGCAGGCCCGCGGCAGATGGCAAGGTCACCTGAGCTGGGCCGTGGAGTGCAGGGAGAGTGAGCTAGAGAGGGATTAGCAGCTGCAGCCACATGTCGAAGCGCAAGGCAACGGGTCAAACGGACAGCAGAGAGATTGTAGTGTACAGCAAGGCAAGGTAGTAGGGAGTGAGTGAGAGGGTCATACAGCAAGGCAGCACAGCTTTTGATGCACAGGAAGAGGGGAAGATCGGCACGTGCTACCTGACAGCAGAGGCGGTTGTGGCGGGCAGCAGCAGGGCGTTTTGGAGAGAAAAGGTCGCCCCCTCTGATAGACCCGGGGGGATGGAGCACTGCCGTCGCATGCTGATGCTGGGGTGCATGGTGGGGGGGATGAGTGGGTGGGTGTAGACAAACACATGCACCTGCCGCCCACTCTCCACGTGGCGCGCACACACCATGCCCCACCTCTCCGCGTCACTCTCCCCGCACCCGGTGCTGCCACGCTGGCAGGTGGCTGGCAGCGCGGCAGAAGGCCGCCGCCCAGCATGTGAGCCCCAACTCGCCCTCCCCGCGCTTCCCCCCAGAGTCATAGTATCCGGCGGCGGGCGGGGCAGGTGGCGGGCGGAGACGACGAGGTCGTCGATGGACACCACTTGCGCGCGCGCCATGGGCGCGCGCAGCATTCCGCGCACATGCGCTCGCCGCCACTGCTCGTTCCGCCACTGATCTGAGCTCATGACGAAGGGCAGCAGTAGGCAGAGTCGCATGTAGCAAAGGGACGAATAGTCAACTAGTGAGAAAAGTAACCCATGGGCGTGCGCAGCATTCCGCGCACCTGCTCTCTCTGCCACTGCTCGCTCTCGCCGCCGCTGCCGCTCTCGCAGCGACTGCCGCTACCGTGGTTGTGAATGTGACCGTTGCAGGCGCGGCGGTTCGCACTGCTGAAGGCCGTCGGAGTCAGTCGCGCCGCGCCGCGCCGGCGCGGCGACTACGACGACGGTGATTCGTTGAGACAAATTCGAATGATTTCGCCTACGTCGATCGGACGTAGAAATTGTTACTCGCGAGGGGACGCGCAACTGACTGGCTGCTTCTGTGCACGGGAACAACAATATTGGCTGTGGTGTTGTTGCTCTCCCGATTCCCGAATAGTTTTTGAAAACTTGTTATAGTCAGCACACAGCACAGCATACAGTACAGCACACTACCACATTGCGTTACCTTATTGCCCCCGCTCACTATTCTCCCACTCACGTTTTTCCCACTCACGATTCTCCCACTCACGATTCTCCCACTCACGATTCTCCCACTCGCAATTCTCCCACTCACGTTTCTCCTGCTCATTCACGATGCCCCCGCTCACATTTGCGTTACCTTATTGCTGATCTTCGCCTCATCACATCAACCCCTTGTCATCTCGTTTCTCCTTGCTCTTGGAACAGTTTCTGGCCGTGATCACATCACACGCATCAGGTGAAAAGCTTCACCGCATAATGGTCGCTCTCCTTCAATTCGTGACGATTAAATTTCGCCACCGCCGGTTACCTCTTCGCGTCATCACCGCGATGGCGTTGGGTCGGCTGTCGATAGTAGATCAGTGAGACACACAACGGCGCAGTGCGACGCGCATGTGCGCAGTGCGGCGCGCATGGGCGCAGAGCGACGGGCTCGGATTATTCTCACCTCCCCTCTCCCCTGCTCACTTTCAGACAGTTGACGCCCGTGCGGCACGCTTCCGCACCACGTCACCTCCCCCACCACGTCACCTCCCCCACCACGTCACCTCCCCTCTGGGCCGTCCTCCGGGCCGTGCACGCCGTCGCTCAGCCACGTCACCTCCCCTCTGACGCCGTGCCACATCACCTCCCCTCTGACGCCCTGCCACGTCACCTCCCCTCTGACCCTTGCCACGTCACCTCCCCTCTGACGCCCTGCCACGTCACCTCCTCCCCTCTGACGCCCTGCCACGTCACCTCCCCTCTGAGGCAGGCCAACGCATGTGTAACCGCATGTAACCGCATTCGCTCCTGTCGCTTGCGCCTTGCACCGCACATGACCACTTCAGACCGCGCATGCATTCGGAACTGGTGAGCCGCTTTCGTTTGTCACACTTCTCCGCGCTTCACCGCACTGCACCCAATACATGTGCTTCACCGCGCTGCACCGCGCTGCATATTCATTTACATCGGAATCCATCTTCTCTCCTTGGGTCATTGGCAGGTCGGAGCATGCAGCTAGAGCTGAGGGGGCAGCTGAAGCAGAGGGGACTTGCTTTTGACTTTTGTTGTCTTCAACATGAGTGGTATGATCGCACCGCTGCTATGCTGACAGCGGATGGGATGTGCACTTCAGGTTACATGCCTCTGCATCATGGCGTTGCCTCTGCATCATGGCGTTGCATCTGCATCATGGCGTTGCATCTGTGGTGGTGACGCTCCCCACAGCAGGTGCGCTCAGCAAGTGTGCTTTGTGGTGTGCTGTGCTATATGCTGTGCAGTCAGCTTTGTGCTTTGTGTTATGTGCTGTGTGCTGTGTGCTGTGTGCTAACGAGGAAAGAAGAGACAACAACAGCAACAAGGAAAGACGTTGCGACGTACCATGGGTGTGGGCACTGGAGGTGCTGCTGTCTGCAGCAAGGTGGGGTCTTCTCACTGAAGGAGCTGCAGCAACTCACTCGTGCACACACCTTGCTGCAAGCATGCACTCACCAGTCGAGCTCGCCCCTGCCGTTGCCGCGTGTGCAACACGCGGGCCTCTGCCCGCTTGCCTCAGGGCACTGCCTAGCTAGCCAATGTCCAAAACCAAAGCCCAAACCAAAACCAAGGCACAATGTCCAAGGCTGCTGCTGCTGCTGCTGCTGCTTCCGCATGATTGTGGGGCAAGACAGCCCCAATGAGGGCACGCTGCGAGTCTTACTAGCTCGACCCTTTCCCCTTCCACCCCTTCACTTCCCCGTGCAGGCATTGTTGGGGTGATTGGTGGCAACGGTGCGGGCAAGTCAACGCTGTTCCGCATGATCGTGGGGCAGGACAGCCCCAATGAGGGCACGCTGCACGTGGGAGAGACGGTGGCGCCGCTCTATGTCGACCAATTACGCGACGCGCTGGATCCCAACAAGACGGTGTTTGAGGAGATCACGGGCGGCGCAGATGAGATCCTGCTGGGTGGGTTTGTTTGTCCTTTAGCGGTGAATTGTTGACTTGTGTTTGGTGGAGATAGGTGGGGCGTGTTGGGTGCTGGTTCTTATGCGTATAGTCACGATTTTGTGGCTGTGCTGGTTATGCCTGCCCCTAGTACAGTCACACATGCCACTGCCACGTGCCTGCCTTCCCTTCTCTTGCTCCCTCTCTCCCTCCTTCCTCCCAACCACCAGGCGAGCGCAAGGTGAACAGCCGGGCGTACTGCGCGTGGTACAACTTCAAGGGCGCGGACCAGCAGAAGAAGGTGGGCGTGCTCCTCGTACAGTCACACATGTGCTATAGTCACATAGCTGCTCCTTCCTTCCCCCTTCCTTCCCCCTTCCTTCCCCCTCACCCCCAGGCGAGCGCAAGGTGAACAGCCGGGCGTACTGCGCGTGGTACAACTTCAAGGGCGCGGACCAGCAGAAGAAGGTGGGCGTGCTCCTCGTACAGTCACACATGTGCTATAGTCACATAGCTGCTCCTTCCTTCCCCCTTCCTTCCCCCTTCCTTCCCCCTCACCCCCAGGCGAGCGCAAGGTGAACAGCCGGGCGTACTGCGCGTGGTACAACTTCAAGGGGGCGGACCAGCAGAAGAAGGTGGGCGTGCTCCTCGTACAGTCACACATGTGCTATAGTCACATAGCTGCTCCTTCCTTCCCCCTTCCTTCCCCCTTCCTTCCCCCTCACCCCCAGGCGAGCGCAAGGTGAACAGCCGGGCGTACTGCGCGTGGTACAACTTCAAGGGGGCGGACCAGCAGAAGAAGGTGGGCGTGCTCCTCGTACAGTCACACATGTGCTATAGTCACATAGCTGCTCCTTCCTTCCCCCTTCCTTCCCCCTTCCTTCCCCCTCACCCCCAGGCGAGCGCAAGGTGAGCAGCCGGGCGTACTGCGCGTGGTACAACTTCAAGGGCGCGGACCAGCAGAAGAAGGTGGGCGTGCTCCTCGTACAGTCACACATGTGCTATAGTCACATAGCTGCTCCTTCCTTCCCCCTTCCTTCCCCCTTCCTTCCCCCTCACCCCCAGGCGAGCGCAAGGTGAACAGCCGGGCGTACTGCGCGTGGTACAACTTCAAGGGCGCGGACCAGCAGAAGAAGGTGGGCGTGCTCCTCGTACAGTCACACATGTGCTATAGTCACATAGCTGCTCCTTCCTTCCCCCTTCCTTCCCCCTTCCTTCCCCCTCACCCCCAGGCGAGCGCAAGGTGAACAGCCGGGCGTACTGCGCGTGGTACAACTTCAAGGGGGCGGACCAGCAGAAGAAGGTGGGCGTGCTCCTCGTACAGTCACACATGTGCTATAGTCACATAGCTGCTCCTTCCTTCCCCCTTCCTTCCCCCTTCCTTCCCCCTCACCCCCAGGCGAGCGCAAGGTGAACAGCCGGGCGTACTGCGCGTGGTACAACTTCAAGGGGGCGGACCAGCAGAAGAAGGTGGGCGTGCTCCTCGTACAGTCACACATGTGCTATAGTCACATAGCTGCTCCTTCCTTCCCCCTTCCTTCCCCCTTCCTTCCCCCTCACCCCCAGGCGAGCGCAAGGTGAGCAGCCGGGCGTACTGCGCGTGGTACAACTTCAAGGGCGCGGACCAGCAGAAGAAGGTGGGCGTGCTCCTCGTACAGTCACACATGTGCTATAGTCACATAGCTGCTCCTTCCTTCCCCCTTCCTTCCCCCTTCCTTCCCCCTCACCCCCAGGCGAGCGCAAGGTGAACAGCCGGGCGTACTGCGCGTGGTACAACTTCAAGGGCGCGGACCAGCAGAAGAAGGTGGGCGTGCTCCTCGTACAGTCACACATGTGCTATAGTCACATAGCTGCTCCTTCCTTCCCCCTTCCTTCCCCCTTCCTTCCCCCTCACCCCCAGGCGAGCGCAAGGTGAACAGCCGGGCGTACTGCGCGTGGTACAACTTCAAGGGGGCGGACCAGCAGAAGAAGGTGGGCGTGCTCCTCGTACAGTCACACATGTGCTATAGTCACATAGCTGCTCCTTCCTTCCCCCTTCCTTCCCCCTTCCTTCCCCCTCACCCCCAGGCGAGCGCAAGGTGAACAGCCGGGCGTACTGCGCGTGGTACAACTTCAAGGGCGCGGACCAGCAGAAGAAGGTGGGCGTGCTCCTCGTACAGTCACACACGTGCTATAGTCACATAGCTGCTCCTTCCTTCCCCCTTCCTTCCCCCTTCCTTCCCCCTCACCCCCAGGCGAGCGCAAGGTGAGCAGCCGGGCGTACTGCGCGTGGTACAACTTCAAGGGCGCGGACCAGCAGAAGAAGGTGGGCGTGCTGTCGGGCGGCGAGCGGAACCGCGTGCACCTGGCGCGCATCATGCGGCGCGGAGGCAACCTGCTCATGCTGGACGAGCCCACCAATGATTTAGATGTGGATACTCTGAGGGCGCTGGAGGATGCGATTCAGGGGTTTGCGGGATGCGTGATTGTCATCTCTCACGACCGCTGGTTTCTGGACCGTATTGCCACGCACATCATGGCCTTTGAAGGCGACTCCAAGGTACGTTTCTTGCAAAATCTATCAAAACTTACTATATTGCTTTGCAAAAGGTTGCGATTTAGGGACTTCGGGAATGGGTGATTGTAAGTTGTGAGATGTTGGGAAAGTGGTAGTTGGGTTGCATTGCCACACACACACACGTATGGTGTTAGCATGCATAGCCTGTGTTCTGCTTTGCTTCTCCTTCTTGTTCTTCTTCATTTCCGAGGTATGGAGGTTCTTGGTGTTTTGCTTTCTTTCCCTTCTTTTACAGTGCTAGGCATGGAGGTTCAATGTGTTCCACTTCTTTTTCTTCGTTTGTGAGGTTTAGAGGTTCGTTGTGCCCCTTTTTGTTCGTTGGGGCAGCCTGAGACTGCATGACATGTGTTGGTATCCATCTGTTGCTTGTGAAGCAACACTGCACGGCTTCCTTTCCATTGCAATGCTTTTTCATCTCTACCCTGTACGCTCCGAAGCAGGTGGTTTGGTTCGAAGGCTCGTACAGCGACTACGAGGAGGACAGGAGGAGGAGGCTTGGGAACAAGGAACCATCACGTCTTAAGTACAGAGCGCTAGCATGATTTGCCGTACTTGCAGATAGGTATCTCTTCTGTAAAACCGTCATGCCATACGGGCCAAAACACTCCATACTAATCGGGCAGTGGCACCTTTGAAGTGTTGACGGGGCTCGGGTTTGGATTTTATCTTCTGGAATGGTGGGAATCACCTTTGTTCTGGTGCGTCTTGGTTTCTTCAAGTCAGCCTGCCTCGAACGTTAGCCTCCTGAATTGCGTCAATTTTGGAGCTCAAATGGAGACGAAATTCTGATTCGTCAACTGACCAAACGCTGCATGCATATATCTACCTGTACTAAAACATCATCATTATGGGCAGCAAGTTAATACAAAAATTAAGGGTAAAGCGAGCAGACACCATCTCCCTCGTTTATTCTGTGGAAAGACAATCCTCTTCAATAAAATTTGACGTGATCGTGATAACCAGCTCTCCTTCACCTGCTCACAGTTGTCAGATACGGTAGGTGGTACTAACCGAATCTGTGTTCACTCTCATTCTTCATCGTCGCTTCATCGTTCAAGTGCTGACACCACCTGCATCATCTACTTCATCACCTGCTTCAGCGCCTACTTCTTCAACTGCTTCATCATCTGAATCATCATCTGAATCCGAATCTAGAGAATTATGTCATGGTAACAAGCTTGTTTGCCACCTCATGGTCCCGAGTATCTTCACTCAAGTACAACTTCTGCAGGAGGGAGCGAAGTTGGAAGTACGTAGGAACGAAAGGTGTCACACTTGGTCTAAACGAGAACACACTGACCTTTATGATGTTAGGACCAGTTTCTCGGCCCAACTTCTCAAAAACGCTTTTGAATGTAGCCATTGCACCAGCTTGGCCAGCAACTTTTAGAACAATGAGAAGTGTTTCCTCCTCAGTCTCCTTAATTTGTTCTTTAATAATCAGGTGTAACTTGCTGTCCATCACCTCGACTAGATCTGAAACATCGTACTCATGTGCCGCTTCAAGTAGAGAAACTCCACTCTGTAGGAGATGGTATTAAAAAAACGACAACTTGTTACTGTAAAATGCACTCAGGGACTGCAACACAAATAGCGCGATGCATGCATACCATGATGGACTCCAATGAAACCGGTTCTTCATGACCATACATGAACGCCAGAAAATGCCACAATGCCGAACCATCCAGATCCTTCATATTCACGATTGGGGTTTTCTTGTTTGCAGTGCTCTTCCACCTCGTTTTGAGCAGCGGAGACCTGAAGAAAAAAAAAGCGATGGTCATGTGAAACCGCACAAAACATGTTTCCATTTTACGATAATGATCGGGTACCATATGGCGACAACGTTGCGATGAGCAGGAATCCTGGTCCCATCGGAGGCCTCAAACACGACATCAGTAAACTCTGCTGTGTGAAACATCTCGCGGAGCTTCAGTTCATAATTTGGCTTCTTCGGACTGCAAGCGAAACAATTCACTTAGGTTATGCATTCGCACAGCATGCTGCTTTGCAGTAGAAAGGAACGTTATTACTGGAAGTCCATTATGAACTGGCAGCAGATGGTGTTGCTAACCAACAAGCGGGAATGTTCCTGCCAGAAGCAACAGTTGCCTGATTTATGTTGCCCAGCGAAACGACATGGATGAGGAAACAAGAATCCGGCGAAGACTGCTAATTTGTAGTAGAATGGCGTTCCTGCCTAGAGAGAATTGTACCAATTTGGGAGAGAGAGCTGGATGGAAGGCCTGAAAATTTCTGGCGAAAATGTCAGGCTCGGCATTCTTCGTCTGGGTGGGCCAGTGCGCGGGAACTGTGCTAGTCCGAACTGAACTTCGCAAATGAGCACTTCGTTCGTCAACGAGTAACCCTGTCGACTAACGGGCTTCTAACAAGAGCGTAACCCTTTCACGTTGCAGAATGTGATCTTTATTCGGCATTAGTGGCAATCATCCTGGTAGTTCATTTTGACTTGCCAATTGCAAATTTGCTTTCCTTGAATTAAGTAGAAAAGAGAACTATTGTAATGGAGGGTGTTAGAATCTAGCAGCAGGAATGGATGAACTAGCAGGATGCAGGAGTACAAGTAGTAAACCCTAATTGGGTTGTACCCCATATGGGCTACCCCACTACAGCCTAGACAATATGCAGCACATATAGTTTGACACACCCCCATAGGCAAAGTGGGGGAGAACAAGGGGTCACACGACCAGTCAAGAGAAGCAAAACAAGCTCAGGGTGGATCACAACGTCACCACGCATTCCGAGCACAAGCAAAGGGCCACAGGGCCAGTTCACATGCAGAGATATACATGCAGCAATAACAGTACAGTGATGGCTACCTAGCAAGAGCCAGCATGCAGGTATATATATAGATCACAGTACAAGCAGAGACTACAGCAAGTGTGGAAACGTAGGCACAAGGCCCAACAGAGTACAAAAGCGCTGATGATCACCAGACGGAAGTGCCTTGGTGAATATATCAGCAGTGTTGGCCCGAGTGGCCACGTGGCGAAGACGAAGCTGGCCTCGCTGCTGCAACTCTCGAGCCAGGAAGTAACGCAGAGCAATGTGCTTCGTTCTGTGCTCCAGTCTGTGCTCCTCACACAAGGCAATGGCGGCCTTGTTGTCGACGTACAGCACTGGAGAAGAACGAGGCCGCTCTCCCAAGTCAGTCAGCAGGTAGGTGAGCCAGCGCAACTCCTGTGCAGCCATGGCTGTGGCGTAGATCTCAGCCTCACAACTGGAGTTGAGAACTAAAGACGAGCGTGTAGAACGCCACGAAACTGAACCAGAGCCAAGGCTGAAGGTGTAACCCTGTGACGACCGCTGAGTAGCCTGGTCGTCAACCCAAGAAGCGTCTGAGTGCCTAGTGAGGACAACTGGGCTCGTCCCTCCAAGCACTAGCCCCATGCCTGATGTGCTGCACAAGTAGCGCAGTACCCTCTTAGCAGCAGCCATGTGCTCAGGTCGGTGCCGACCAGGAGCCACGTAGCAAGCCAGAAGGCCAAGAGGGTACGCGAGGTCAGGTCGAGTGCAAGTCATCAAGTACATGAGGCAGCCGACTAGCTCTGGGTAAGGACCACTCGGCTCTACGGACTCGTCCAAAGGTGGAGCTGAGAGCGTGTGACCTGTAGCCAGAGGAGTGGCCTGTGCTGAAGACCAGGTGAAGCCGAAGCGCTGAAGGACCTGCTGCACCATGTGTGACTGAGTCAAGGTGATGGTGCGGCGTGCTCTGTCCCGGGTGATCTGCAAGCCAAGGTAGCTGCGCAGCTCACCCAAGTCTGTGCACGTGTGTCTCTTCTGCAGCTCCGACTTCACGTGGGCGAGAGCCTCAGTGTCAGCAGTGGCAAAAACCAAGTCGTCGATGTACACGAGGATGTAGAACGGCGGCAGTGAAGTGTCGGTGCGCAGAAACAGCGACGGGTCAGCAGTAGAAGGCGCGAACCCAAGAGCCACAAGCGTAGTCCTCAGTGTGTCGTGCCACTCACGTGGCGCCTGGCGGAGACCGTAGACCGGCCGCCGGAGGCTCCACTGGGTACCAGGAGGGAACGACCCAGTGAAGCCCGGGGGGCGGCGCAGCCAGATCTCCTCGTGCAGGCTGCCCTGCAAGAAAGCTGTGCTGAAGTCAAGAGAGTGAAGCTCGTAGTCACGGTGAGCAGCAACGTGCAGCAGCACCCGAAGAGTGGTCATCTTCGGGGTGGGGGAGAAGGTCTGGAAGAAGTCAACTCCCTCTCGCTGACTGAAGCCTCGAGCAACATAACGAGCCTTGAAGACAGGCGGAGAACCTGGCGGCCGCTTCACCCTGAAAATCCACATGCCACTGACGATGTTCGCCCCAGGAGGGGGAACCTCGTCGACGTAAGTGCCAGTGGACTTCCAGGATGCCATCTCTGCGTCCATGGCTGTCTGCCACTGAGAGGAGTACTCACCCGCGATCGCCTCAGCGTAAGAGCGCGGGGTCGGGATGTCTGGTGCATCCGGGTCTCCCTCAGGGGCAAGCAGCATGGCAACGAGATGAGGCGCAGCGGCTGCAAGACACTCAAGGTCCTCGTGCCTGTCCTCAAGGACGTCCGTGCTAAGAGCACACTCACCCCCGACGGACGGAGGACAGACAGACTCAGACTCAACAACAAGACTGGCAGCGAAGTCTAGACGACAGGCAGCAGCAAAATCAACAAGCTCAGCGACAAGAGCAGACGCAGCAGTAGACTCAAACGACGGGTCAGTGACAACAGTGGCTAGTAGACGCGTGACAGTAGGGTGCTCAGCACGAAACCGGTCAGACGCAGGGTCCGGAACGTCAGGCAAAGAGGACGCAGGAGGAGACGGCAGAGGAACAGGCTGCGGAGCAGAGGAAGGACGACGGACTACGAGGTGTGCGCTGGGGACAGCCGGCTGACGCGAACGAGGAACACGACGACCGGTACGACCAGGACGAACAGGCGAAACAGGACGCGACGCAGGCTCATGACGCTCAGCAGGACTACCGGTCTGCTCAGTGTAATGAGAAGGAGCAGGCAGCGGTGAGCCAGGCTGTAACGGAAGACCAGTAGACGACGGGAGAGTAAGAACCTGACGAAGAACAGAGTCAGACGGCGGCAGAGACGACGGAGACGGCGGAGCAAAGAACAGTCGTGTCGGCGCAGCTGCACCAGTACCGGCAGCTCCAGCAGCTCCAGTGCCTCCAGCAGCTCCAGTACCTCCAGCAGCTCTAGTACCTCCAGCAGCTCCAGAAGCTCCAGTCCCAGAGCCGACACCTCCAGTCCCAGGGTCTCCAACCTCTGTGTCTCCAGCAGCAGCACCCCCAGAACCAGCACCTCCAGTCGCAGTGTCTCCAGCCTCAGTGTCTCCAGCAGCAGCACCCCCAGAGCCAGCACCTCCAGTCCCAGGGTCTCCAGCCTCAGTGTCTCCAGCACGAGCACCTCCAGAACCAGCGACTCCAGCACCTCCAGTAGACAAAGGACCAGCACCACTCCTAGCTCCAGCAGCGCGACGCTGACGGCGACCGTACCAGTCCTGCAGCTGCTGTGAGGTGAGAGGCACACGTGGACGAAGGCGGCTACTCCAAGGAGACCGCGCAACAGCAGACTCAGAACCCTCAGCGCCCGCACCCCCAACGGCTCCAGAACCTCCGGTGTCAGTACCCTCAGCACCAGTACCTCCAGCGGCTCCAGAACCTCCAGCGCGAGCACCCTCAGCAGCTCCAGAACCTCCAGCTCCAGCGCCACCAGTACTAGGCCCTCCAGCAGCTCCCGAACCTCCAGCGCCAGCACCCTCAGTAGCTCCAGAACCTCCAGCGTCAGTACCGCCAAGCTCAGCACCCCCAGACCCCTCACACTCAGGCTCAGCACCACCAGGCTCCACACCCTCAAGCTCCGCACCCTCAGGCTCAGTACCCCCAGGCTCAGCACCCCCAGGCTCCGCACCTCCAGGCTCAGCACCCCCAGAAGTAGCACCCCGAGCAGGACCACCCTCAGTAGGACCTGAGTCACCAGTGACCTCAACCGGCGCAATCAAGGGAGGAGGGTCTACCTGAGAAACACCTGAAGGAGCAGGACCGGGAGCGGGGAGGGGGTCTACCTGGGGAGCACCTGGAGCGAGGAAGAGCGGCGGGGGGGGGAGCGGGGCAGTGCGGTAGGGGAAGAGACGGTAAAAGGGAACCGACTCGTCGAACGTGACGTCCTGAGACGCAAAGACACGGCGCGAGGTGGGGTGGTAAAACTGCCAACCAGGTGCGTCAGGGACAAAGCCAAGGAAGACACAGGGAACAGCGCGGGCGGAGAGCTTGTCCGCGGTGGTATCGCGGACAAAGGCACGAGCACCCCAGACCCGGAAACGCGACGCATTGCCAACCTTCCCCGTCCACAGCAGTGTGGGCGAGGTCTCCAGCAAGGAGACACAGGGCCAGAGGTTGAGCTGATGCGCGGCGTACCGGACCGCAAACGGCCACAGAAAATGGGGGGCAGCTGCATGGATCATGGAGGTACGAGCGACCTCCATGACTAAGCCAATGCGGCGCTCAGCAACCCCATTCTGCTGCGGAGAGGCCGGAAGCGTGAACGACTGGGTGATGCCGCGCTCCGCACAGTAGGCTGCCAAGAGGTCGGAGGAGAACTCACCACCTCTGTCAGAGTGCAGACGCAGGACTGGAAAGTCCGACCGGAACCGCTCGCGGAGCTGGAGACGAACAGCGCGGATCCAGGGGATCAAAACAGCAGGGACATCCGCCTTGCTCCGCAAGGGGAAGACCGTGGTGTAACGCGTGTAGTCGTCGACAACCAGCAGGAAGTACCGCTCGTGGCCCTGTCCCTGGACGCGGGCTGGGCCCCACACGTCCAGGTGGAGCGTCTGCAGTGGAGCCTCTGTGGGAGGAAACGAGGAGTGAGGAGCGGCGCGCTGCCGCCCCTCGACGCAAGGAATGCAGGGCGGCGCAGGCGAGGGAGGGAGGGCAGGCAGAGACCTGGGAAGACCAGAGACCAGGGAGCGAGAGTGCATGCTACGCAGGCGAGGCAAGGAGGGGTGACCAAGGCGGTGGTGCCACAGGAGAGTGTCGTGCGACAAAGCGCGACACTCGCAAGGGGCCGCCAGCTGACCAGACGTAGACGCAGACGCAGCTACCTGAGGGGACTCAGTGGTCAGTGTGTACAGACTCGAGCCAGGTGCACGGGTGAACGTGGCCAAGTGCCGGCCCGTCCTAGCACTCCTACAGTGAGTCACTCGCTGACTCGCAGGAGTGAACTGGTCAACCCCCCGATCCTGGAGGTCAGCTCCACTCACCAAGTTCGTAGAGAACGAGGGGAGGTAAAGACCTGACAGCGAGCCGGACGGGGCGGCCGGACACGGCAGAACCGTGGAGTAGTGGGCAAGGACTGGACCCCCGGAGGGGTCCGCCAGGGAGACTGGAACTGGCCGACTAAGCGGCGTGAGTGTGGTGCAGTCGCGAAAGAAGGAGCGGGAAGCTCCTGAGTCAAGGGTGAAGGTGTGCGAGACCGCAGTGGGCGCAGTACCAGAGAGAGCAGACTCACCAGCACCTGAAGCCACGGCCTCACCAGTACCTAGAGCAGTAGACGTACTAGCACCAAGAGCAGCAGCCTCACCAGCACCTAGAGCAGG